CGTCAAATCCCCACAAGTCCTATCTCATCTGCTTTGCAGTGGTCGCTATTCATGTTTTTCTCATTTTAAATCATTTTCCTGTTGTGTCTCCCGTTGTGTCTCTCCGTTTTGCCTCCCCGAGGCGGCTTTTGCAACTGCTCACCGTCCAGACCGTTCTGAGCAGTGAAGCTGTGGGGGCGAGCAGTTCCAAGCGCCTCCGCGGTGAGACACAACGGGTGCCGCAGATTTCCCAAGTCAAATCGTCAAACCTCCACAAATCCTATCTCATCTGCTTTTAGTGGTCGCTACTTTTTTTCCCTGGCCGCGCCTATGTGCCATTAGATTTCCCAGGCCAAATCCCCACAAGTCCTATCTCATCTGCTTTTAGTGGTCGCTATTTTTCCCTTGCCGCACCCACGTGCCATTAGATTTCCCAGGTCATATCGTCAAATCCCCACAAGTCCTATTTCATTTGCTTTTAGTGGTCGCTATTTTTCCCTTGCCGCACCCACGTGCCATTAGATTTCTCAGGTCGAATCGTCAAATTTCCACAAGTCCTATCTCATCTGCTTTTAGAGGTCGCTGTTTTTCCCTTGCCGCGCCCATGTGCCATTAGATTTCTCTGGTCAAATCGTCAAATCCCCACAAGTCCTATCTCATCTGCTTTTACACTGGGAAGGGCATCCTGGCTCCCACTCCCCATTCTTATTTTTAACGGGAAGCTACCGGAGGCCATGTGGGAAACTGCGGAGGTGCACAGCGAGACCGGCAACAACAGGGAGACACGCGGCCCGCGAGCCGTGTCACTTCCCGTCAGAGATAAAAACAGGGAGACACGTGGCCGTCCGTTCTCCGCGAGCCGTGTCGCTGCCCGTTATTAAAGCTAACAACAGTAGAGAAACAACGAGAAAATGAAAAAAAATACGTTCAGTAGCTTTTTACCATATTGTAGCTTTTTACCATATTGCCAAATGGCTCAGGATGAAACCCATGAGATGGGAATTCTTCGTGGGATATAGATGCTACAGTCCCAACACATGGGTTATGTGAACATACCCCAAATCAGCCCTAAGTCCTATCTCATGTGTCCAAACTGTAGCCTGTAGCATTAAAAAACAAACCGTGGGAATGTAAAAACTTGATGCAGGTATCCTTCAAATGACTACTAGAACCACATGAGATAGGAGTTTGGCACTTTCAAAGCGCAAAAACAATACTTTACTCATGAGATGGGAAATCAAAAAAACTGGACCCTCCGACAACTCCTATCTCATCCGTACCTAGTATATATATACATATATAAATGCACATACATATAGATAGATAGATAGATAGATAGATAGGATAGATAGATAGACAGATAGATAAATAGATAGATATATCAAAATCAAACATATGCTTGGGCCACCATGGACGAGATGCAGTCAAACCTGGGTTCTGAACGAGTTGATGCGCACCACGCAGAACCTGAACGAAAAAACAACTTGAATCCAGCCATGTCTCCCACATTTCTTTTCACTCAGAGTAATGTTTGAACCCAGCCATGTCTCCCCCACGTTTCCTTGAATACCCCGGAGTTGCCCCGCCTCCCGAACCCAGGCTCAGCAAAGTGAAGACCTTGCCCGGAAGCCACTTTTGAGTGGAGCCCTCTAGGGTTGTGTATAAAAAGTATATATATATATGTATATAATATGTTTAACTAAACTTTCTCTATATAAAGATATGTATGTACGCATATGATGTGTCACTGGCACAGGTGTAGAGCCATAGTTCCAACTAAAAGTTTCAATCCACCTGGTTTTGGACGCTGTTTCCCATTCACTGGGTACCCGGCATTCTCTGGAAGTAGTGCAAGGCCAGCGCTCCAGAGCTAGACTAGAGATACCAGGGCGCACCAGTTACCCAAACAACCCAAACAACCCAAACATAGTGGCTATATGAAACATAACGATTCACAGTAAAGGCCATCATATATCAAAGTGTACATGCCCAAAGTAAAAGAAAAAACACATATACACGCATGCAACTACACATACGCATAAAACGATATTAATATTATATACCTACATACATACGAAAAACATGCCCACATACGCTTTAGATATCCATAATGGAACCTAACAGTGGTCAACCACTGTTAGGTTCCTTTTATCACCCAGTCATCGCAGGAGTCTGCAGGTAAGGTGCACATAGGCATCACACTTGCCAAAAAAACACTAGGCATTGCGCAGTACAAAGCCCAAAAGCTAACCAGCTTTGAAAGTCAGGTGTCCAAGTTTTACTTGTAGTACAGACAGGCAGTGCTGATGCGCAGCCATTTGGCCAAAACCCTAGATACAAAGCAAAACCCCAGAAACGAGGAACCAAAAATCAAGGAGAACCAGCAGATGCAAGTGAATGACCCGGAGGAGGACCCCGCTATTCCGTCTTCTTCGTCTACCACAAGTGAGGAGCTGCTTCCAGATGATGATGATGGACAGCCAAATGGACGAGATGGCAACAACGAGAAGGAGGATGACGACTTCTTCATCGCCGTCACTGTGGGCTGCGATGAGCAGGACTACAACTGGCTGGCAAAGCACCGGCGCAAGGGCGCAGTATGGCTGAGCAAGAAGATGAGCGAGAAGTCGAAAGAGGTAGATTGGAAGAGACTTCCACTTTCAGAGAAGAAGGAGTTCGACGTTGCTCAGGCCAAGGAGATCAGCAATGTCATCATCAGCAAAGCTCTGAGAAACCTCACCAAAGCTGAGCTGGACAAGCTGGACGAGAACAAAGTAATGTCCATGCGGTGGGTCTTGACAAGGAAGACTGATGGAACAGCAAAGGCACGCCTAGTCATTTTGGGCTTCATGGCGCACAACCTGACCGAAGTGGCGACGGCAAGCCCAACACTTTCAAAGGTGGGACGAAACCTTGTGCTCACCCTGTCCTCCAACCTGAAGTTTGTGGTTCGTGGCGGAGACGTCACATCAGCATTTCTTCAAACGGGGATATCCCTGGAAGATGAGGAGTTGACGATTTGGGCACCGCCCGAACTGGCCGCTATCTTTGGAGCCGAGTATGGTGAGCAGAAAGCTCTTCGAGTTTGTGAAGCTTTCTATGGCTTGGTCCATGCACCGCGCAAGTGGTATGAGCGCTGTGTACAGGTGATGAAATCTCTTGGATGGCGACAGCTTCAAGGTGACAAATGTGTCTACGTGCTCCTGGACCCCGAGACTGGCAAGATTTGTGGACTGGCTGGATTGCATGTGGATGACTTCTTGCTGTCCGGCGACCCCAATTCCACTTTCTTCGATAGTGCCCAAGCAGCCTTGCTGAAAGCATTCAGATGGGGCAAATGGGAGACTGAGGAGTTCACTTTTGCTGGATGCCGCATCCGACAAGCTGAAGATTTCAGCATCACCTTGGACCAGGAGGACTACACCAACAAGTGGATTGAAGAGATCAAGATCGACGCCACCCGATCTCCACGAGCTCTACTACTTCCTGCCGAAGTATCAGCTTTGAGAGGAGCCCTTGGAACAATCAGCTGGAGGGCGACGCAAACAGCGCCCCAGTACCTGGCTGACACCAGCCTACTTCTTTCAGAAGTTTCCAAAGGCACCGTGGAGACGCTCTACAAGGTGAACAAGCTGATCAGAGAGATGCGAGCCAACGCATCGCAGGGACTGCTATTCCCTAGCTGGGGGAAAGAGATCAAGGAGCTGGCAGTGATCGTATGGGCCGATGCTTCACAGCACAACAGGCCCGACAAGTCTTCAACCATTGGCATCCTGGCCGGCATCGGACCCCGTGAGATGATCGATGGTGAAGAGCACCAACTTGCCATTGTTCAATGGAAATCTGGGAAAACACCCAGACAATGTTTAGGCTCAAACGGAGCTGAAGTCCAAGCCGTGACAATTGGCGAGGACATTTGCTGGAATCTACGACTTTACTTGCTGAACTAGCTGGAGAAGAAGTTCGGAGGGACAACCTGCATGAGATTACAACCTGCATGAGATTGTCAAAGTGATCGATGGCGCCGTGGTCATGGACACACGTGGCATCTATGATGCGATCACTCGCAACCTCAGCCCTCTTCATGGACTTCGCGAAGCCAGAGCTGGATACGAGCTGACTTTAGCGGTGAACCAGGGCATCCAATCAGGTGTCCAATTCCGCTGGGTCAATGGGTTAGCCCAACTGGCTGACGCAATGACGAAGGCCTCCAACCGCAAGATCCTGTTGCACCTCTTTGGACAAAAGCAACACTGGAGACTGGTGCACGATGAGAAGTTCGAATCAGGAAGACGCGTGCACAAGAAGGAGTTGGAGAAGCGACTGAAGGAAATGCAGAATAACTTCGTGGCCTTCGTAAAGAATTTGGCCGAAACGAAGAATTTCCCATGGACTGAAGACAGTCCGCCTCGGTACAACCCACTGTCCTGACAAAAGGATTCAGGAAGTTGGGGTGATGCAAGAACCGAGATGCATGTAGCACATGTGAACCCTTTTGCACTGACAGGTAACTTGCCCCTGACCATAGGGTGGGGCTCGAGCGACATAGCCCGCATGTAAAAGGTGCTGACCGCACCGACTGCTGTGACCCGGTTGTCACTTCCCTTGACCTCGTGCACATGGTATATAATGGAAAACCCTCTTAAAATGGATGATTTCGGAGTACCCCTATTTTAGGAAACTTCCAAATGATGAACAAGGATGATAAACCATGAATTTTGGCTTGTCACATTTATGTTTCGACAAACTCAAAATGGTGATGCAAGAAGAACATCGCTTGTTTTGTGGTGATGAAATGTGATGAATCTTTCTTCGACTTTCTCTTTCCCACTCAATGCCATGACATTGAACAACATGCAAACAAGTGAGGGGGTAATGTCAACTGTCAATTAATTTTCAGTTGATTCATAAGTTGATGAAACAGGATGAACAATAATGCAACATGGTGAAACATGATGAAACCTGTTTGCTTCACTTCTGGGGTCACCATTTTGGTAGCTGATCACAATTTGCGAACGCAGGCGCTTCAGCATCTGGACATGTGCTACAACCAGATCTATGACCGAGGACGGAAGCGAAGATACGGAAGAAACAGCACAGTTTGGGCAAATTATGGGATTTTGGTGGATTCAGATGGCGCTGGCAATCATCTGGAAAATGGATGAACATGGTTCCCTTTATGTCGGCAAAACAAGGCAACTATGGTGTTCAGCGGACAGCATCTTGATCCATCCGGGGATTGAGCGATCAGTTTTCCCAGAAATCCATGACATCCCACATTAAAATTGGTCGCGATGTATCGCGGAGCTTAATAAGACAAATCAGACGGACACCTTCTCCCGACACCAGCCCTCGCCCTTGTTCTGTATTGAGAAATCCTTCGTTCATCTCTATGTCATTCTATGTCTATACTACAATAATATATGTATATAAATTATATAAAGTAAAAGGTGTCAATGTATTAATAGGATTTAATCACCATACGTCTCCCAGCATTAAACACACCTGTTGAAGGCCCCATGGCCACTGCGGGGCACCACAGGTGGTTTCGCCCTGGCTGAAGCCTTGAAGCACAACCGCACACTGCAAGACCTGCTGCTGCGCACCAACCAGCTGGGAGATGCAGGTGAGACATGGTGAGACGCCTTCTGGGCAAATGTGGTGACTGGTTCATCAGATATTTTTGGTGAGATTTTTGGTGAGACATATGTAGAAACCATTTGAACAGGGCCCCTGGGCGATGGCTGCAGGTTGTCAGAGAGATCAGAGAGATCAGAGAGATCAGAGAGTAGTCTTCCAGTTTGTCAGTTTCGGGTCAGCCAAATTATTCCACATGCCTTGAATTGTGTGCATGACGGACATCCTTTGGTTGCCATGTGAACTCTTGCCCGGCTGCAATGACAGGTGTATCTGCTCTAGCCGAGTCGCTGCAGAAGAATCGTACTTTGCAGTACCTGGCATTGGACAACAACCAAATCTCCCAGCCACCTGGCCGTTCCCCGTGTGGATCCTGTGGATCCTGAGTGTTTCCTGGGATCAAAGTCCAGCGGTGTCATTCCATGGCCCCACTGAACGGCGAGGTTGGGCGTGGCAGCGTTGGCAAAGACCTTGCACAAGAACCGGGTCATGCAGCAGTTGCTGGTCTTGCACCCTGGAAATTTGTTGTTTTCCGAAGCAGGGAACCCCAAACTAAGAGATTGGAGTCAAAATATCTTTATATGTTGGTATTCAGTTTGAAATGTGTTTCTTCATCCCGGCTTTGACACCAACCCATGTGTGAAAACCAGATGTATGACAGTAAAAGTTGCACATGTTCTTTCAAACATATCCCAACAGGTTCATACATACATACATTTACATACATTTGCATACATTTACATACATTTACATACATTTACATACATTTACATACATTTACATACATTTTACATACATTTGCATACATTTACATACATTTACATACATTTGCACATACATACATACATACATACATTTACATACATTTACATACATACGTACTTACGTACAGACAGACAGACAGACAGACAGACCGACAGACGGACCGACCAACAGACAGACAGACAGCCAGGCATGCATGCATGCATGCATGCATGCATACATACACACATACATACATACATACATACATACATACATACATACATACATACATACATACATACATACATACATACATACATGAATACATGAATACATGATATATTATATTTATATATTCCCATATATTTTCCCATAATATATTGCCATATATAATATGTTTGAGTATATATTGCAGCTTCAACATCCTTCAAGCCTTTTGCAGTTGGGAAAGCAGCCAGGTTGTCCCTGGATTTGAATTGCATGAAGGATCAAGGCTGGGCATCGATACGGTAGGGGCCTGCTCCACCTTTTCGATGGGAGGATGGTTCAAAATCAATGACTACTATATAGTTACCCTCTGGTTATTTAACATAGCCATGGAAAATGGCCCATTTATAGATGGTTTACCTATTAAAAATGGTGATTTTCCATGGCTGTTAAATAACCAGATGGTATATAGTTACTATATAGTTCTTGGAAGGGGGGAACCAGGGTGATACAAAAAACCAGAGTCTGTTGAGGATTTTTTGAATCGGTTTTTCCACCAGAAAGCACCTGGAGTGACCTGAAATTCTCAGGTGCAGCCCAGCTTGCGCAAGCATTGACACACAATCGCAGTGACTCAGCAGAGTGAGCATTTGGAGGATGTACCGGGATGTACCGGGACCGGGTAGTTATCTGGAGAAGTTGCTGCACACATTATAATCTGAAAACAGCAAATCAGGATTTCACATGTTTTCATATTTTATATATCTGACTTAATTTTAGAATATGTTGAGCCCACACACCAACGTTGGCACACCGCCACTACAGCCCTGGTGTCGAGGTCTGTTGATCTTGCGGGTGTGTTCCAACGAGATCGGAGAGGAAGGTGCTGATGATTAGATGCTACCACGCTTAGCATATAGCATATCTCAGTCCAAGTATAGTGTGGTATGGTATGTATGGAATGTATGGTATGTAACATGGTATAGTATTGTAAATAACGAAGACAGGACCATAGACACGGGTACCAATGATGTAGTGAGCATCAACGGTCCATAACATAAGTGATTCCATGGTAACGGTAACCCATGAAAACCCCGAATAATATACCACGAGTTTTGGATGCTTTTCAATACCCACAAGAGTCTCTGGTGATATTGTGGATAGTTTTTTGTTGGGTTTACCTCATGATATCCCATTTAGATAGATGATTTTCCCATCAAAACCTCCATTTATAATGGATTTTCCATAGCTATGTTAGTCATAACCAGATGGTATATCAAATTATTTAATTATATATCGCAATATCCCAATTAATATCCCAACAAAAATCCCCATGACATGGTTCAATCCCCGGTGTCTTCTCCAGGTGCTGTGGCATTGGCAGATGCCTTGCGGCAGAATTGCAGCCTACAGCATTTGGCCGCCAGTTTCATGGCCAAAGTTGCTGATGGATGAGAAATCGCATGAACATCGTGGACGATTTTGGATGGGTTTTCATCTCTCAATGTGCACATCCGCTGGTTGGTGGTTTCAGACATGTTTTTTTTTCTCCATCACATTTGGGATGATCATCCTCATGAATTTGCACCATATTTTCAGGATTTGAAACCAGCCATCAGTCCTCAATCCCAGAATTCGTTGGGACAATTTGCAGGACACCCCGGAGGTGGATTACTGGTTTCCTTCAACTTTTCACTAAAATAAAGCAATGTTTTTTTTTTACCCGTAAGATATACTGTAGTTGAATCCCATGAGTTATCCCATCAGTTATACCATTAGTTATCCAGCTGGTTATATCCCATTATATATATATATATATATCCCATCAGTTAAACCATAACTGATGGGATAACAGAAGGACCGATATATCACCTATATCCCTAAATGATCTAAATGAGTGAAATCGTATTAGTTATAGTGTGTATATATATATATATCAAACATATTCAAATATATATATATATATATACATATATATATATATAAATACTATCAGATCCAGTCCTCAGGTTCCAACGACTTCGGCCAGCACGGTGCCACGGCGCTGGGCAGCGCCCTTCGGGAGAACCGGCACCTGCAGGTGCTGGACGTGCGGATGAACCACATCGGAGACCCGGGAGCTGCTTGACGGGGTGGAAAAAGTAGGGCTCCAGCTGAAAGAAATTTGGATGGTTTACAACTTGGTCATACTTGGTCTACTTATATATACTTATATAATCTTATATAATCTTATATACTCAGAGTTTACTGAAAGAGTACATGACTTTTTGTGAGATGTACGCCAATATCAGTGGTTTTGTTGGTCTGCAGTTCTCACCTGTGGCCATGTGGTGTTTGAGATCATCCAGATCCCAACTTCCCAGTCTTCACTTGATGGTAAGATCTGGCAGGAGGCTGTTGTTTAAGCCAACGGCCACTTCTTTCACTGTTACATATTGGCGTGTCATGTTTGATTCTTGGTATTTCTATGTATTTCTTGATATTTCTTGCTACGTATTATAATGATTTATTATAATGATTTATTATAATGATTTATTATAATGTATTATATATGTTTAATTATAATACTATATATATATATATGTATATATATATATATGTATATATATATATATGTATATATATATATCAAGGTAAGTTATGTGAGTCCATATCTGTGACCTGTGGACCTGTCGCATCCGCGAGGTCATTGCACTGGCAGAGGCTCTCAGAACCAATCAGACCTTGCAGCAGCTGTCAGTCCCTTGGTCAGACCTTCAGGCGCCCTGCGCGCCGGGCAAATCCACCCATGTTTGTTTGTTTTGTTTCAAATTTGTGGGGGGTTTTCACGATTTCGAACACAGAAAAAATACTATCAGTCTGGCATCATATATCCCAATAAATCATAATAAATCCAGTCGTACACACTATCACCAACTATCACCAACGATCTCCTAGTTTTCAGCTTTCCAAAGGTTGGGAACAACCAGATCCAACGGCACGGAGCTGAAGCGTTGGCGGAGGTTTTGAAGGAGTCCAGCAGATAGCAAGGTCAATGGATAGGATTTGTTGGATGTATAGATCATGAATGATCATGAGTGGATGTAGATCCAGTAGTTGGAGATTCCAGTGCTTTACCAGGATGAGAACTCTTGTAGCAAACCTCAAATTCCTATGAGAAAATTATCCAAATGATAATTGGTCAATGGGGATTCCCAGCTCATAACCCTTTACAATCATCAACCAACTGGACATACCTGGACTGTTGTCCACGTTGACCATTTATGGCGCTACCAACCAAACCACAACAGCATCGGCAGGAAAACCGAAGCTTGCAGAGCCTCGATGTACGGTTCAATGCTCCTTGGATGTCGTTTCATCACGTGTTTGGTATGGGACCAGATCCGTAACTACTGCGACGAGTGTTGCCGAGAGACTTTGTCTATATAAGGAATCCGGATTTTATCAAGGAATGTGCCGAGACCAAATTCAGCTTTTTTTGTTCAATCTGATGTCAAGCTATGTTCTTCCATGCTCTTTCCATTCTGGATTGGTGGTGGGATTTTGCCAGCCGAGCTTCAAACACATTGGCTCAGGACCTCGGGGACATTGGCACAACTGCTCTCACCAATGTCACTTGATGATCAAACAGGCTGAGAAATGATCTTGAGAATTCTTGAGATACGGGTTTGTCTGAAAATAGGGCAGCCCAGAATTTGATCGGTCAATCAATGTTAGTTATCATTTTCCACTTTAAAATCACTCCATGTTTATCGATTATATGGGTATCCCCATTTTCAGTCGTCATGTCAGAAGCTCATTTAGTTGGGTCAGGCCCTTGCTCAGTTGCTGCACCAAGGCTTTGAAGGAGAACACCACCTTGCAGAACCTGGGAGTTGCCTCAACGGAACTGGGACAGACTCTGGGTGGCACGGGAGGATGGGATGGGCTGGTGGTGCCTGGTTTCCATTCGAATACAGCTGATCCACTGCTTCAATCATTATTTTTCCTATCACATGGCCACAATTGGGGTTATACAGGCTTATAGCCTATAGCCCATTAAGACATCCCCACGTTGTTGAACAGGTCCTGCACCACCGAAGATCCTTTGGGACTATGGAGCAGAGAGCAGATAGAAAATATCTTTTTTTCCCCCCACTGATAATTTACTTCAGTAGTCCACAACAACATTATTCCTGTTAGTATTAAACACCAACTTTTGAAATATAAATATATATATATATATATAAACGCTTTTAAAGTGGCATTCAGAACTCCTAACATTTACCATCTTTCCGGTTGTTCCAATAGACAGATAGTTTACAGATGATAAATTATATATATATATCACCAAAAACTATTTTTCTCGTAGTGATTATTACGTGATATAATTCCATGAAAATTCTCCAGACCAGGTTTGGCCGTGCCACAGTGTCAGAGTTGTTGGAGAAGCGTTTGCTGGCCCGCAACCATTGCACCAACTTCGCTGTGCCTTGCCGCAGAGGAAGCCTTCACAACTGGTGGTTGATGGGGACATCACTGACTGGAAGCGTCTCAATTATGTGTCATATTATATAATATATATATTATACATATTATATATGTATATTGTTGATTGTATATAGTATACGATATATATTTCTTAATTCTGTATGATATATATATACACATAATGCATATATATATATATACATAATACATATATATATATATATATAATATAATATAATATTATATTATATTATCTTAAGTATATATGATACAGACACGGGTGTGTCTGAAAATATGCTTCATATATAGATATGCGCCCAAATAGCAATTTTCACAGACGTTTGTTCAGTTTGTTCAAGGGGATTGATATGAAACCACCAACCAAATACACATTTGTACATATATATATAGTTATATATATAGTTGTATATATATATATGTGTATATATATATATTTATATATAGTTGTATATATATATATATATTTGTATTTATATATATATATATTTGTATGTACATATATATATATATTTGTTATATATATTTGTATATATATATATTTGTATATCTATTTATATATATAAATATAGTTATATGTATATTTGTATATATATAGTTGTATATATATATAGTTGTATATATATATTTGTATATATATATATTTGTATGTACATATATATATATATATATTTGTTTGTATATATTGTGAATTCCACATCATTGCAACTGATCTTGAGTGACCAGAACCTTTACCCACAGCCGTTCCGAAACCAGCTCTAATTCCAGGACCTCATGTCCACCTCAGCACCCTGGCTCAGGGAACCATAGGAGAGGTCAGCGGGAGGGATTCACATTTGGTGCTTGTTAGCCATAGACTTGCTACTTTTGGATTTGGTGGACGAGGTCGTCCTTGAAAGCCAGGGGCTTTGATCCGTTGTTGGTAAGAAGGCTGATATCGCCCTTTTGCAATCCAGTTTTGGCCGCTCTTCAGAGAGCCTTGGGACTTTTGCATCAGCAGGTGTGTCTCTGGAAAAGAGGCGCGTGCCCGCGCTTTGGTGTCTTGGAGGGAGAAGCTGCCAGGTAGTTGTGGTCCTAGACCAACTACACTGGTAGCGGAGCTCCGTTTGCTCCTACGACGGAAGATCCAGGGGGGATTGAGGAAATTGAAGAATCAGCTGCTCGACCGCAGCGCATGTCGGAATCATCAGAAGGGGTCAAACCAATGTTTCAAATCAACTAGCAGTGCTTGTGCCGACGTTCGATCCTAGCAAGGATGACCTGCAGATTTACTCTCAGAAGGTGATGCTCCTCTTGGAAGCCTGGCCACCAAACAAGTACACAGAGCTTGCAACTCGATTGATACTGAATTGTAGTGGTTCTGCATTCAAGAAGCTCCAGCTTCACCAATCCGAAGTGACTCAGAATGATCGGAAATCCATACAGAAAATCATAGAACTGCTTGGTGGACACTGGGGGCAAATAGACCTTGAGCAGCGTTATGAATATGCCGAGAAAGCCTTGTACAAATGCCAGCAGAAATCTGATGAGAGTGCTGACAGCTACTTGGCCCGTGCTGACATCATGTGGACTGAGCTGAACAGTCGAAAATTTCAGCTCAGCGATCTTCAAGCATACGTGACCTTGAGGGGTTCTACTTTGACTGCTGAAGATAAGAAACGGGTGTTGCTAGACTCAGATGCTGCAAACAAGGGTTCTCTGACCGTAGAAAAGGTGAGCTCGTCAATTCGCATGCTTGGTGCAGGGTTTTTTCATGAGATGACCGCCGGCCGGCGAACTGGGAAGCTGAAAACCTACGATCAAACAACTCTGATGGCCGAGGATCAGTAAGAGATGGAACCTGATCAGACAGCCTTCTCAGCCGAAACCATGGACGATGATGATGAAGCCATGGTTGTTGCCCTCGCTCAGGAAGGGGATGAAGATGCCTCCCTGGTTGCCGATTTTGAGGCAGCTGCCAGTGAGCTGCTTCAGAACGATGACGAACTGGCAGCAGCATATAATGCTTATGCCGATGCCAGGAGACGTTTGAACGACAAGGTCAGGAACCGTGGATTCTGGCCCATTGGCCAAAAGGGCCGTGGAAAAGGTTTCAACAAAGGTGTCAAAGGCAAGTTCAACAAGGGCCACTCCTCATCGAGGAAATCGTTACAGCAGAGAATCTTAGAGTCAAGGTGCCGATTGTGTGGGAAGATGGGTCATTGGAAGGCCGAATGTCCCAACAAAGGGGACTCCGGCACCGGAAGCCGTGCTCCTCAAGCACCCACCACATTCGTGCAAGTGACGGCAACTCCGACCGATGATCCGGATGCGGGTTTGCCACTGGAATTTCTGCGATTGCCAGCTCATGAAACCACGCTGGATGATTCTCAGATTAATTTCAGCCTCATTCACATGGTAGTTCCTCATGAAAGCACCCGTAGTCAGCTTCGTAAGTCTCTTAATCGATGGCAACAGAATCAAAATCAAGCCGCATCCCTGGTCAGGACTGATGATGATGCCGTGCCTCCGTGGAGACATCGACTGAAGCAGAGGGCTCTTGGCCAAGCCTCTATGGAGCCTTCGAAAAGCCTAGTGCCCGCTGATGCCGAGCCAACATGTTTCGCATCACACGGTAGCTATGGGATTGTGGATCTCGGGGCCACCAAAACAGTAATGGGGAGTAAGCTAGTGCCTGAGCTGTTGAACCATTTACATCCGAGCATTCGCCAGCAGGTGACAAGGTGTCCATGTAGCATTACTTTCCGGTTTGGGAATCATGGGGTCCTAGAAAGTAAACAAGCGTTGGTCATCCCCATTCAAGGTTTACTCTTGAAAATTGCCGTAGTACCGGGGTCCACCCCACTGCTGCTGTCCAACACGTTGCTACGAGCCTTGCAGGCCACAGTGGATACTGAAAACCAGGTGTTGCATTCTAGGAAAACTCAACAAAGTTTCCCACTGACTCTGACCAGCAAGGGACTTTTTCTCCTAGATTTGAATGTTCTAGCCCAAAAACAACCGGGCCAGAGCAAGTTTTCCAGATTGGCAGAAACCCATCCTGCCGAGGACATCCAGGTCGAAGCAGTTGAATCCAGTGTCAAAACCAGTTTTGCTGCTCCAAGTCGGTCTCACCAATCTCAGGTAATGTTTCAGCACCGAGAAGCCAGTCCATACATGTCACATGAGGAAATCCAGATGTCCGACAGCACATGCCAGAGCACTGATCGGACCAAGCGATTTCCCTCGAGTTTTCGTGTGATTGACCGTGACCGCCATGACCAGCCTTGCACAGCGCCTCCAGAAGGTCCAAGTGGCGACCACCGAAGCCAAGCCGGATCTCTCTCACATGTCCCTTCAAGAGATGAAGGATCAGAAGATCAGTTTCGGCAAGACCCACCATGGTCGAACGTTTCAAGACATGTGGGACAACGAGCAGAGCTGGACCACATGGTTCGTCCAGAGGTACTCCAACTCCGGCAAGGCCGAGCACATGGTTTTCCTGAAGTTCGTCGAACTGATGGTGGAAAGAGCCGAGCTGACAGGCCAAGGAGTCCCGCTGACCAACCAGAAGGAGGTCGAGAAGACCCGGTCTCTCACCGGAGCTCAGGCCTCTCAGCCGGAAGTGAACCACGGGGCCAGGGCCAAAGCCAAGGCGATGGTGACGGTACCCATCCAGACGTCCCTGTGGGACTACGAAGACGACCCGGAGACCTTCGAGATGCTCTCGGAGACAGCTCCAATCCAGGAGAATGTCAAGATCATGAACTTGGAGAGTCGCATGCAGGGGGTCGAGACTGCGCTGGCAAGTATCCTTCAGCACTTGGAGGCCATGAATCCGACCATGGCCACCCCACAGTGAGAGATCAGGAGTGCCCCAGTCTTGCAGCTCAGACTTTCGCAGGTATGTGAGTGCCGAGTGCTTTGCATCCGAAACCCAACAGGAAACACCAGAAACCAACCATGAGAGAAAACTTTTCAACAAATTTGTTCAGCAATACACCACCGAACTTTCCCAAATTCAGAACAACACCAACAGTCATGGTTACCGTCTAGATGTTCTTGAGATTTTCTGTGGACCGCAAAGCCAACTGACGTCACAGTCGCAGCAGCTCGGGTTGAAAGCCGAACGGTTTGGGCTCCAGCAAGGAGATTTGCATACCATTTCCGGCCGTCATGATTTGTTTCGAATGCTGTGTCAGAAAAAGCCCAAGCATGTCTGGTTCAGCCCAAAATGTGGACCATGGAGTGGATTCTCATGCTTAAATGGCAGCCGATCACTTGAAGCCTGGGATGAATTACAACGGTCTCGTGAAGAGAGCCTCCAGCAGATTGCACTAGGGATTGTTGTATTGCGTTTTCAACGTCAACATGAAAATCACTTTCATTGGGAACAGCCCCGGGGTTCATTAATGTTCAAGTTGCCATATTTGCAGGAAGCCCTTTACTACCTTCTGTCAGTGGACGTGGATCTTTGTGTTGCAGGGGAATTGAAGGATCCTGAGAACGGAAAACTCATTCGGAAATCCCTCGCCATTCTTTCCACATCCCATACCATGGTTCAAGAATTATCAGGTCTTCGATGTCAACATGATCATGTCCATCAGGTCATAGAAGGTCAGGTAAAGTACAAAGGGGAAAATATTTCCAGATCCACCTTCACAGAGAACTATCCTAGAAAGTTTGCACGAAGGGTTGCCAAGATCTTTGGGAAATTTAAGTACCCACGGGAGACACCATACCGGAATGACATGTGGCAAATCCTTGCAACCGAAGAGCACCCGGAAGCCACAGCCGCCAAGCGTCCCAGAAGGGAGAGATATACCTCCATGAAATTGAGCCGTGCCCTGGAAGTGTCCAAACTGCCTTGGGGAAAACGCAGGAAGATGTCGTCCAAGACGTCTCCCATAGATGCCAAACAGCAGTGGTCCACAGTGTTTTCCAGGTTGACTGAAATACTGCCACGGGTAGGAAAATGCAAGGTTCAAGATCCAGAAATCATGGAACTGGTTCAAAATCTCATTGGGGATAAACAAATTGAAGCCATGATAGCCTGCCGGGGTTCCAGCAGAACTTTAGCACCACCAGAACATCTTCAAAAGGGGGTTGCTCCTCTTCGCAGAAGTGTGTTCATCGAGCGAGGAACTGGGGAGATTCGGGCAGAGGATGACTCTGAAAACTGGGAAAACCTAGCCAAGCGTAACCTCATTAGACCCTCCCATGAGACTCGAATTAACCTCACAGTGTTTGCTAAGGAAAGGCCGCCTGCCGTGACACATGCATCACCCAACCAAGACAGTGCCCCGGCAGGGAATTTGCAAGGACCATCGGAGTCCAAAGATAATTCCAATGCATGCCGTGAGTCTGAGGGATCCGAAGAAATCCCGGCTCCGATATCCGAGACCACGCCACAGCCTGTTTTGTCACAAGAGCCCAGCCGTTCCCAGCAAGCTGACATCAGCAGCATGCAACAGAGTGCCCGATTTCGATCGCTACCCCGAGATGAACAGATTGCCCTGTTGCGGGCCCACAAGAATCTTGGTCATCCGAGTCCTGAACGTTTGAGTACCATTTTGCGTTCCCAGGGGTATCGGTCGGAAGTAGCCCAAGCAGCCCTAGAGCTAAAGTGCTCAATTTGCCAAGAGAGTTCAACTCCGAAACTTGCCCGACCGGGCAGCCTGAAGGAGGACTTGGACTTCAATGACAAGATCTCCATCGATGGTCTTGAATGGACAAACAAACAGGGAACCACTTTCCATGTGTATCACATTGTTGACTGGTCCACCAATTTTCATGTAGCCAGAGTAGCCCCAGACCGATCATCCTCATCAGCCATCCAAATCATCATCGACATGTGGATGTCATGGGCAGGTGCGCCAAGTGAACTACTAGTGGATGCCGCGACCGAGTTTAACTCAGAACAATTTTGCCAATTTGTCCAGAGTTATAACATTAAGCTAACCACTATTAGTCCTGAGGCTCACTTTCAAAATGGCCGTGTGGAAAGACATGGATCTATCCTAAAGACAATGCTGAATAAGTATGAAAGTGATCATGAGATAACCAGCTATCAAGACATGTCTCAAGCATTGTTCTGGTGTACACAAGCGAAAAACGCCAGCAGCCTCAAGAGAGGCTATGCGCCGGAAGTCTTGGTCTTTGGCAAACATAGTCGGTTGCCTGGAGCTGTCTGCAGCGATGAATTAATCCCAGCCCATCTTTTGGCAGAGTCAGAAACCGCTCATGGAGTGGCTTTCAGGCGACAACTTGCCTGTAGAGAAAGTGCTAGGAAAGCTTTCATTTATGCAGATAACGATTCAGCACTTCGCCGAGCCATGTTACGCAGGACACGACCAGGAGGTTTGCCATACTCACCAGGGGAATGGGTAATGTGTTGGAAATTGGGAAAAGGGGCCATGGAGGGACACTGGATAGGACCCATGAAAGTAGTAGTCCACGAAAATGCCCAAACTATTTGGACCACTCAAGGGAGTAAAATCTATCGATGTGCCCCCGAACATGTGAGACCCGTTTCCTCCAATGAAGCACGAATGATCCCTATCACGAGTAAGGAACCCTCAGTATCAATAATTGCCCAACAATTGCCGCAGTTGCCATCACAAGGAATCACTAGAGCCATCTTGAATCCTCCGGACTCAGGACTTCAGGACATGACAGGAACACCGGAACCTCCTGGACAGGACACCCAATCCGAGGTCCAACCGGATGATGAACCTGAAGCCCCATCACATAAATCCCAAAATTCCATAGCCAGTCATAATCCACCGAATGATAACCTCCATGATGAAACAGCGACACGACCATTCAAATACAAGCCATACCAGTTGATGATTTCCGATTTCTTGCGTTTTCCGATGCTTCGTTTGCTTCAAAGGGAAATCCCAGTTCTCACACAGGTTGCATGATCATGGGGACCCACAAACTAATTTCTCAGAATGTTTCGTGCCCAGTAAGCCCTCTGTCTTGGGGAAGCAAGAAGATTCAGAGAGTGGTGACAAGCACTCTGGCAGCCGAGACGGTATCATTAAGCTCAGTCTTAGACCATTTATCATGGCTGAGACTTTGTTGGGGCTGGATGCTTGATCCTTCCGTTCAGTGGAAGCAGCCTAGTGGTGCATTGTTGAAACTTCCCGAAACATATTCCACTGCAACCTACAGGACACAGCATTTGCCGGAAAGCCTAGCAGCCACCGACTGTAAGAGCTTGTATGATCTAGTAACTCGAACAGCAGTCCCCAACTGCTCAGAATATCGAACACAACTGAATGCGAGAGCAATCAAGGATTTTCTTGCTGAAGGTGTACAGCTTAGGTGGGCACATAGTGGTGCACAATTGGCTGACAGTTTGACCAAGATCATGGAAAATTCATTTCTCCGTGCCACTTTGCATCACGGACACTACAAGCTGCACGACGAACTGGAAGTTCTCAAATCCCGCGCGACCACGCGCAATCGGCTTCGATGGCTTAAGGGTTCTGAACAAAAGGAATCCAATGACCAGGGGTGCAATGATGAATGTCTGTTGTCAATAAACAATGGATTTTTAGGAGTGTGAATTCCACATCATTGCAACTGATCTTGAGTGACCAGAACCTTTACCCACAGCCGTTCCGAAACCAGCTCTAATTCCAGGACCTCATGTCCACCTCAGCACCCTGGCTCAGGGAACCATAGGAGAGGTCAGCGGGAGGGATTCACATTTGGTGCTTGTTAGCCATAGACTTGCTACTTTTGGATTTGGTGGACGAGGTCGTCCTTGAAAGCCAGGGGCTTTGATCCGTTGTTGGTAAGAAGGCTGATATCGCCTTTTGCAATCCAGTTTTGGCCGCTCTTCAGAGAGCCTTGGGACTTTTGCATCAGCAGGAGTGTCTCTGGAAAAGAGGCGCGTGCCCGCGCTTTGGTGTCTTGGAGGGAGAAGCTGCCAGGTAGTTGTGGTCCTAGACCAACTACAATATGTATATATATATACGCGTGTATATATATATATATGTGTGTGTGTGTATGTATGTAAATATAAATCCGCCCGCACCGAAGGTGCTGGGGCGTGATCTTCCGGATGGCACTCGTAAAAGGTTACAGGTTTACCTGGGGGGGTGGGGGGCATTTTTCGGCCAAAACCTCCTGTTTTTGATAGGTCGTGACGCTCGCCTTCAAAAAACACTGTAAAAAACAGTACGGAAGACACCTGTTCGTGAACGCGCCCGTCCAAAATCGGCAAGCGAAAAGTGAAAAAAAACCGTGTTTTTCAACTTTTTGACCTCAATTTTTTGGTTTGCAACATCTTTTTTTGCGATTCCGCAGGTGGCCGGGCCCGGAGGCGGATTTTTGAGTTTTTGGACCCGTTTTCGGACTGATTTTCGTCGGTTTGTGATAGCAGAAACACTGGTTTTTACAGTGTTTTTCTGTTTTCTGCATGCTTGACGGCTAGCTTCAAAACTTCCAAAAACCTCGTAAATTACGCTGTTTTATGTTACGGTGTGAATGAAAACATCGTAAATACCAGTGTTTTTTGACGTTGGTTAAAAAAACGCTGTAAATTACAGTGTTTTTGGCCACCTGACCCTCAAAAACCATGGTATTTGCAGTGGTTTCTGCTTCTCACCGCACAAAAACACTGTAAATAAGAGCAATTTCGCCGTTTTTTCATGTTTTTCGTTATTTTTTGAACTGCGTTGGTCCGCTATACATGGCTATCAAATTCTTCGCGTGTTTTTTTCCGACAATCAGTACTTTCGGATGTTTTTGGTCTCAATGGCCGACATCATTGGCAGTTACGAACGATGCGGTGCGGGCGGTTGCCGTCGCGAAGCGACGTGAATATGCATATGTATGCATGCATGCACGTATGTACGTATATGTATGTATATGTATGTGTATGTATGTGTATGTATGTGTATGTATGTGCATGTATGTGCATGTATGTGTATGTATGTGTATGTATGTGTATGTATGTGTATGTATGTGTATGTATGTGTATGTATGTGTATGTATGTGTATGTATGTATGTATGTGTGTGTGTATGTGTGTGTGTATGTATGTATGTATGTATGTCTGTATGTCTGTATGTCTGTATGTCTGTATGTCTGTATGTCTGTATGTCTGTATGTCTGTATGTCTGTATGTCTGTATGCCTGTATGCCTGTATGCCTGTATGCCTGTATGCCTGTATGCCTGTATGCCTCTATGCCTCTATGCCTCTATGCCTGTATGCCTCTATGCCTGTATGCCTGTATGCCTGTATGCCTGTATGCCTGTATGCCTGTATGCCTGTATGCCTGTATGCCTGTATGCCTGTATGTCTGTATGTCTGTATGTCTGTATGTCTGTATGTCTGTATGTCTGTATGTCTGTATGTCTGTATGTATGTATGTATGTAATGTATGTAATGTATGTAATGTATGTAATGTATGTAATGTATGTAATGTATGTAATGTATGTAATGTATGTCGTACGTACGTACGTACGTACGTACGTACGTACGTACGTACGTACGTACGTATGTATGTATGTATGTATGTAATTTATATGTTTGCATATATTTATATATGTATGTATGTATGTATGTATATGTATATGTATATGTATATGTATATGTATATGTATATGTATATGTATATGTATATGTATATGTATATGTATATGTATGTATATATATATATGTATATGTATATGTATATGTATATGTATATGTATGTATATCCATGTATATGTATGTATATCCATGTATATGTATGTATATGGTTGAATATGTCTATTTATGTCCAATGTATATATGTCACATATAGATGAACCATGCGCAACGTCTGCCAGTGTCCACTCGAACCCCGTCCTTCAATGCGGAGCTGTAGTGCAGCTCCAATTCCCTGACCGCTCGAAGCCGCGAGAGTAGGAAGATGTTTTTGCTCACGCGGCGATCCTGGCGCTACTGGCGAGTTTCTGTAGGGCTCAGCCGGGTTCAGCCATAGAAAGTGCTGAGTTCACAAACAGAAATGGGATTTCATTGGGTTTTGAAATTGTCCAGAAGTCAACCAAGGTTCAACACTGTTTCGGGGCTCAGAAATAGGGCACAGTGATTTTCCGTATCTCCCTCAAGCGCATTTTTGTAGGTGACTGATTGAGCAACACCCAACATCACCTACCTGGTGGCAAAAATTCAACTGGTGACTAGCCAATTCCTGACAAATCGCGGCAACCAAATATAACCAAACCCAGCCTCCATTACACAGCATGCGGATGGAGATAGCCACTCGCCCCGGTACAGGTTGCTTTGCAGTTGTTGCTTCCTCAGGCCATTTTGTCGTCATCCAGAGGTCATCTCCGACCCACTGTGACTCACTGAACCGTTGGACTTCGTTGGACCAAGAAGCTTGGTGAGTTTGGTCTCATTCGGCACAAAGATCAGTTTCTCATCTTGGTCCTATGACTCACCAGTGCTCATCCCAAGAGAAACCGGCACAACAGAACGGGAGCTCATGGGGTAGACACTTTGCTTCAAAAAACTTCGTCTTTACACTGTTGTGCAGTGAGAAAGGGTCTGAAACCCAGGTTTTGGAGCAAAGATACTTGAGTTTTCTGGATGCCATCATTCAACCATATTCCAACATGTCCATTTTGTCTAAGTTTTTGAGCCAAACAAAAACACTGCCCATGGTGCCCCGCTCTCTTTTAAAACCATGGCTGGACTAAAAAACAACTTCCCCTTCCTGATCCCCTATTCAATCACTGGGAAGAAAACAAATCTTGGTTGCGTGCGGAATGATATCCCCTCAAATCAATCCATTGACCATCATCTTTGGCGATTTAAATCCCCATTTGTGAGTACTTAAATCATCGCAAATAATCCCATTTTTGGGTGGTTCAATCACCCTTTTTTTTGGCAGCAAATTCTCCCCAAGCCATACCCGTCCTTCAAGGCCGCCTCCACTTCCAGACATCTGCGATGCTGCTGAAGCAAGTGCAGGCTCTGATAGGCGCTGGTCATCTCGCCCTCCGTGCTTTCGAACCTTAGAAGCCGATTGGCGCAGCAGGCATACCCTCTACTCAAAGCTATAGCTATGGGAATGGCCATGGCCCATTTATATATACATGATTTTACCATATTTTACCCGATTTGACCCATAAAAATGGTGATCTTCCACTATGGCTGTCAAACTAACAGTGGGTATGAGTTAGTATTATCCATTTAAAGCGACGATTGATGCTGAAGGCATTGGAAACTGGAATAAGCTGGTGCTGCTTCCGCGCCATGTCAGGGGCACCGAATATGTTCTTCGGCAAATTTTGTCAACGTCACCATCGGGGCAGGATTCGGGTGGAATCTGGCACTTCCATGCATTTTCTTTCTGAGCCGCTTCAGCTCACTCCAAGAGTTGATACAGTACGTTTTGATACCACCATTGATGACGTGAAGCTACCTCAAGCAGCACGTCCTGGGACAACACCAGCCTCCGGCCCCTTGGTCCCTGACTTTGTCGTTGACCAGTCCCGAAGCAGTTCAAGAACATCCTCCAAACCGTCTTGGTGCTTTGACATTTGGCATCTGGGAATGTACATTGACAATTTGCGGGACAACCCTGCCAAAAAATGACATGACTCCCAACTCTGGGAACTCACCTCTAGATCCTCCTAGTCTTAGGCTGATCTGCAACTTATGTGCAGTCGACATCTTGTCTTGTGCACAGGCTATGCCTGTGCACGAGCTACAAATGGCCAATCTTAGTCCATCAAAAAGCTTGGTTTTAGTATGTTTTAGTTGGATATCAATCGTTGGCGCCATGTCTGGCTGAAAATTGAGCCCCTTCGCCATGCACCATGAAGTTAGTATACCAATCATCTACTTGCTTGAATGGCAGTCATTGTTGATAGATTTTATAGATTTATAGGCTATGGGGCATATTAGGGGCTATGGCTAGCGGCTAGATCCCTACCATTCCCCAACTCACCTCGCACCTTGGCAGAAAGTTGCTGCGCACCCAGCTGCTTCAACATTTCACGGAAGCTCAGCTGACAGCAGGGTGCCTCACCTGGGGCAGCTGTCGGTCACAACGGGTGACAGAGGGAAGCCACTGATGTTTGAAACGGTTGTTTCACCATGGTTTGGGGATGTGTCTGATCAATTTTGATCATCAGATGCATGGTTTTTTGACGCTTTTTTGGGGTTCATACGTGTTCCCTTTATCCCATGTCCAATGCAATTGAAATCTTGAAGAATGGCATGCACGTCCTATCGAAACTAATTTTCCGGTAGCCCGGCATGGGACACTTCCATATCTTCCATCAAGATCCCAAGCTCACTTTTGAGGCTTTATATTGGCAAGTGAGTGTTCAGGCTTTTCACCTCTCCACATCTCAAATCCATCCTTGAATTTGCCTTGAATTTCTGATTTTCGTATCACCTTTGGGACATCTCGATCCAAATCATTCCAAGTCCCAGTGGCCAACCAACACCAGGTGTTTCTCCAAAAATCTCTTCACCTCCGGGGTCAGCTTCGAGTCCGGTGATGGCATCTGTCCATCCTCCCAGAGGAACCGCGCATGGCAGGGCTTGCAGCTCCTGCCACTGCCCTGCACCCAGCTGGAATTCGTCATGAGAGCCTTGGAGTCGGCTGTTGCCGGTGGATGGATGTTTCGGAGCCAAATTTTGAATGCAAGAAGCTTGCTTCAGTTCCCTTCATGTTTCTTTAACGTCAAGACGCCGCGATGGATGATGGACAGCTCTTGCTTGTGGCTTTCAAGGTGAGGCTGGCCGCAAGATGGTCACGTAACTCCACCACGTAGGACGCCACCAGCAATCTGCGGACGTCACTTCCGCTGTTCAGCGCCGCCGCGAGGGCCCGAGAGTCGAAGTCGACGACGTCCACAGTTTGGGCCAAGATGTTGGAATCCTCAGCTGGTTTTCGTCCATCGTTTTTCGAGGCAGCGAAGCTGGGGGGCCTCGAAGGGATTGGCCATGACATGCAACAAATGGAGTGACACTGGACACCACCTGGTTCGTTTCTATCTTTGGACACCGGTCATGGCTGTTTCGGTCAAGTCGAACAAGAACTTCCTGTGGTTAAGCGCTGTGTTTCTGCCTGCGGGGTTTCTTTCAAGCACATCCGCGAAAAAAAAACGGTAAAAATCGAAAATATTACAATATGTTTTTCTTTTTTCCCAGCAGGGGGTACAAGCGTACACCCTGTAGGCCAAACACGGCCGTGAACCTGCTTAGAGAACTTCAGAAGGTGATGCTGTTGGGTAATGTTGGGGATGATCCCAATTTCAATCTGGTTCTGCAGAGCTTTGCCCACACTTGGATCATCGATGCATCAGTTGTTTTCAAAAAGACCTCGTTTGCAGCGCATGATGCTTGCCATTGCTGGTGCTGCCTTCAAAGGATGCTGGTTCTATTGGCAGCTGCCGACTGCCAAACATGCAGACCAAAACCACTTGGACCTCAAGCCCGAATCATCCCCGCTCAACCAGCTACTCTACCTATGATTCAATGATTCTACCCATACAATCCCCCATAATATCACCATTCTTATCATCTAGCATTCTACCGAATTCTACCCCTCATATAACACCCACCATCCACCACCAAGCCCAAGTTTCCACATCCCGCGCCAGTTGCTCCGCCACTTCCTTGAGCTGCGGCTTCTCACGGCCCAACTCCCCCAGCGTTTGGCTCTGCCGCAGCCGCTGCACGGGGAAGCCGCCCATGGTCACACCGCAGTGCTGCGCCAGGAACTGGGCCAGCTGCCGGGGGGCCAGCTGCATCTCATCAGCCGCTTCCAACCTGGAACCCCCAGCTGCCCCTGCTGTTTTTTGATGGGGCTTCAGTTGATGGGGTGCAGAAACCCATCTGACCAACACAAGTGAGTGACCTATGGTACTATGGATGCTCTGATGGAGTTTTTTACAATAGTGGAAATCTTGAGGGCAGGTAGGAGAAATCCATCACTAAAGTCCACTACCTTTTTCTTTTGGCGGTCCCGCCAGCACCGGTGGCAACTGGCCACGACAAACATCGACAAACCCATTTCTTGTGGTCATTATTCTGGTGGTTTCAGTATTGTGTAATCGATGGCTTGGCTTCACTACGTTATCCATATCCCGACCGGCAGGCATAGTAACAGAGTATCGCCTATTTCTAGATGGATTACCCCATCTTCATCCATTGTGTTCCATTTTCAATGTTGAACATTGGTTTCAACATGTTTCAACATGAAAAACAGGTGTTCCGTATCTATTCCATATCTATAGACACCTTCGAACCACCAACGACATCCCCGTCCCAGCCACAGCTGCGGTGCCGTCACTGCGGTCGTCTCCACCTCCGCCAGCACCTTGTGCGCCTGCGCGCGGTCGCTCTCCCCCCGCTGCTCCGCGTCTGTGGCCAGCAGCAGGTGGAAGGTGCTGGACAGAAGTGTGGGGACTGAAGAGGCCACGGGTTGCAGCTGCAGCTGGCCGTCCAGGAGGATCGGAAGCTTCAACCAGGTCCTTAGTTGAAACATGTTGAGCTGATGGGGTTCGAACTGAAGTCTGGTGGCTGAGGTATGGGTTGTAAACCGTTGTATGTTACCATGGTGTCCTCGAGCTCACAATCTGGACTGTTTCAGCATCCCAACTCCCAACTACTAAGTTGGCTAGCAAACGCCCTCACCCAGAATATCCAGATCTGTTCATAGCTGTTTCAGTGGGCTATGACCATTATGATTTCTCAGTTTCTTACTGGGATGAACATCCAAGCATCATTGCTGCTTGATCGAAGATCCATAGAAAACCAGTTTATATATGTGGTGGCAAAACTGATAGATTCCGGATGCCTCCGGACTCCGGATGTGTCTGGTCTAAATTGCTTTCTGTGAAAATCTGCAGGAAACTAGGGAAATTCCCGGTCAGATATGGGGTTTCACCCGCAATTTCCCACCATTTTTGGTGTCCAACCTAATTCGAACCTCCGAAACTCACAGCAAGTGAACCTGTTTCCTGGGTTTACCCCCTTTACCAGCAAACTAACATATATATATATATATATGTAGAATCCATTGAAGGACACCACTACACCACAAGTTATGCCTCACTTCGAAACCTAACTATTGATTCTCCATCAGCTTATCCCAGTGCATCTCCGCCAAGCTTCTGCAACGCCTCTTCGAAAGTCTGCCGTTTGAACTTCCGCGCCCAGCCCTCAGCACACTCCGCCATGCGAACGGAGGCCAAGTAGGCGATGCAAAGGGACACGGTTCGGACCTCCTGCAGCGGGTGGGAAACGGTGAAGTGACTGGGAGCCCATGGGGGCCCTTTAATCTTACCATCCGAAGAAATGTTCGAAACATCTGTCAGGGATCATCAATTCCAAATAGGATTCAAAATGTAAATATCAATAACCACTCAAATGGGACAACTGTCAGGCAGCAAGAACTGGTGAGCGAGGGACCAGTTCATGTGCCTTTTCCAAATGGAAAAAATGTGCGTAGCTCTGTTAGGTAACTGGACATTAACTTGTCATTTAGATTGTAACGCCCATCAATCAAGCACACGTCTATGGATACGCATAGGTATGTGTGCTTTTATAGAGCATAAATACATTCATATGTGTCTGTAAGCGCAGCTTATGTACGTGTATTGCATGCTTTCTCATATATATATATATTCTCATATATATATATATATATATTCTCATATATATATATATATGTGTGTGTGCATGTATATATACATATATACACACAACTTATCGTATAATTAATATTTCATATTTATCCCGGAGTCTGTTTCACCCAGTTCCTGTTCTCCATGCGTCGCTTCTCCCAACTTTTCCAGCAACGGCATCACCCCCTCCAGCACCACCGCGTCGGGCGACAAGAGCCGCAGACCCAAGTGGTCCAACAAACGGCGAACCAGCTGACCGTCCTGCGACCACATAGTAAACACAGATAGCTTGGGCCCCTTGGGCCACTATAGATGATACAGACTTAAGTATGATCGTTAATGATCGTTAATGATCGTTGTGTGCAAATTTGTCTATTGTTGGATATCCATTTAAATCATTTAAAATTATATACACTCTATAGATCTATAGTCAGTTTGGTCAACTATAATGTGATATTTATGTGTGTGTGACAGTCTCTCAGCGCAGATTAATGGTTGGGAAAGTATAGTTCTAGCCATCTGATGATTGTTCTTCATTCGTGATATTATGAGTCATTGCAAATCATCATCCCAAGAAAGGTCTCAAATGTCTGTTTTGACTCACTGACCGCTGTTCTATCCCTACTGACTCCATGGTAGTGCGGTTCAGGTTTGCAACTGCCACAGTTTAAAATTGCGATACTGTACAAGTTCTAACGTGCCACAATTCAGGGCTGGGTGCTGAAGGTGTCATTCAGACCGTCCATGGAATAAAACTGGAAACATGCAGGTTAAAAGAAAAAACCCTGCAGGGAGTCCTTCCCCTCAAAGAGCTCAGGGGAGACGATCTTCAGATCCAAGCAATCCAGCAAAGCCTGCGGAAAGCTTTGCTGGATTCTGTCGGGCAAGAACCTTAGGCCACTTCCAGGCTGCATCCGATGTTGAGACGCCATGTCACATGGCCGCAACGAGGGCATCAACAGCAATGACCATGACCGCCTTGAACCCCCATCTCTGTTGTTTCAATATCTTCAATCCCCACCTTTTGGTTCATGTTTGTATCTAAGATATCTATGTCAAACAGTCCAATCAAATCCAATCAATCCATCCATCTTTGTTCCTCCAAGTCACAGCCCCTCCTCCGCCACCGCCCCACGCTGCGCGGCATCGTCCACCAAGCCCGGTGGTCCCGCGATCGTGCTGCGCTGCAGCGGCAGCAGCCGCAACTTCTTCAGCTTCTCCAGGCGCAGCGAGTCGCTCACCGGCACCTCGTCCTGGAGCTTCGGATGGATGATCTGGAAAGTTGATGAAAGTTGAAGGCGGAGTTGTAAGGAAAAATTGGTGAACCAACATGAGGATGCTGTTGGAACAAATCTATAATTGACACTCATCTCAGTAATCAAAAATGTTTTTTATGCGGAAAAATTGGTGTCTGGTGAATCTTGGTGTTGTTATCTCAACACTAAGCTCAGCTTTTGGGACGTGAAGCCATGGTGGAACACACTCAAATGCGGTACAACATGATACAACCATTTCCCTCCATAATCCTCCATAGACAATCACATGGCCCATCTCAGTCATCATGTCCATGACATACCCCCCATTATTGGAGCGCATCTCGCCTGATGGCCGCCCCACATCAAGCTGTAGCACAGCGCCAGGACTTGTCGCACAAAGCCCACGGACAAGACCTCGTTGCCCTCGGGGCTGCCCACCATGCCAGTGAGCACCGTCAGAAGGACGTCCAAGGCGGAACCTGGCGTCCTGGCAAGGATGGGAGGCTCCAAGCAGCATGACCTATGAAGCGGTATGAAGCGGCTAAACATGCCATGGACAATGGCATGAATTGATAGGGGCTAATGGGTGTATTCATCATATTCATCTATGGATCAAGCCACAAAACCTCTGAGCCAAGCGGTTTCATGGTCAGTGCCAAGAACTCCCAGCGGCCCGGCCTGACTCCCAAATGCTGAAGGGTCTTCGCAGAGAGGCCTGCTCCAAAGTCCGAATGCATATAGCCTGGGCACCGAAAAAGGCTGCAAGGGGATGACACACTTGGACGACCATTCCGCCGAAGGCACAAACTAGAAATCAGAAAAAGATCCCATCAACATGGCAATCGAACATTCAGCGGGAATACAAAATACATATATATATATACATATAACTGTACCTGTACATGCACATTGAAAATACATGAACGTATTTTATGTATGTATGTATATATATATGTATATGTGTGTGTGTGCATACATACATTTGCAGATGCACATGCATATGAATATGTCTATTGTCGTACATCATGATGATATTATACATGTACATACGTCGATGCTTTGATAGGTTAGTAGTTCATACCTTTGGTCACTGCTCATGGTCTGACAAATTCAACCACCGGGGACCATCTCTCAGACGCGAAGGATTGAAGTTAGTTCGGGGCGTCCTATTCGCTTCTTGGTGCTACCAATCAATTATCTATTGGTTTTGTCGCCATTTTAGTTGGTTGAATTCCCAATTTCAAAGCATGGCAAAAATGGATCAGCATCTTTCCCATTCAAGAATTCTAAACCAAAGGCCGTAAATCCCTTATTTTTGGATGTACCATGGTGTATTCCTAGCCATCAAATGCATTACCCATCCACCAGCCCCTTTGAAGAAGCAACAAAGTCCATCATGGAACTTTGCCAAGATTTCCGGCCCGATCACCTGACGTGAGCACCCGGAATCACACGGTGATGGGCTGGGTCTGTATCAATCATCAAATTGGGATTTCAATCGCAAGAGAACAAGGTATCTACCAGGCGGAACATGGTTACAAACATGTATATAAACTATTATAAACCCAGTTACACCCCATTAAACAAGATAGCACAGGCGTGGTGGCCATTGCAACTTCCGTAAGGAACATGGACCCCAAGGGCCTTCTTCATGACTTCGGGTGCTTGAAAAATGTAGCACGGCTGCATCCAACATCCTTCCGCAGACCTGAGCTGGTTCACCCAACAGCTCTCAACTGCCCCGCCTGAACAGAAAAAGCAAAGAGCCTGGCAAACATTTCTGCGCGCCGTTTAAGAACTGAACGCCCTAAACATGTATTTATGGTTTGATAATGTTTGGGCATGTTTGGTATATACTATGCATTTGCATGCACATTTGTACGAATATCTATGGTGTGCATGTGTGTGTGTGTGTACTGTATATCTATCTATCTCATCTCACCTCACCTCACCTCACCTCACCTCATCTCATCTCATCTCATCTCATCTATCTATCTATTCGTGTATGTATAACATCCCTGTCTCAGAATGTGTGCCCGCCCAGGCTCGGTCGGGCAGTGAGACGTGTTAATGTGTGCCCTTCAGAACAGAGAGCGCCCGCCCTTCCCATAACATCCCATGACTCAGAGTCGGTTCACAGGACGCACTTCTCCTCCTTGAGCTGGTGCCAAATTTTTGCCTCTGTCCCTGCGAAGAAGTCGCTGGCACCAGCGCCACCACCCAAATCTCCATGCCTCACTTCTTGGCTTCTGGACCAGGCCGGTGGAGATTACTACATGGCATGGCAATGGGATGATTGGTTTTTTCGCATGATTTTCTAGCATTCTAGCGGCTGTGTGGCCATTTTACCTGGTTTGATGGGAAATCTCCACCTTCGGCTTCCATAGGTCAATCATCTGTGCTAGTTTGGTTTGCCTGTTCCAGGTGAACTTGCAAGAAACTACTAGAGGCTTGACCCGGAGCATGGCCAACAGGTGCTCCAATCCGGGACAAACAAAAAGATAAATCATGTTTTAAGATTTTTTAAGACTAATTAATTATATCAAGATAGGTCAAGGAATGTCAATGGAAATCAAACCTTCCAAGTTGCAGCTACAAACAGCACCCATCTTCACCCATTCTTGGCCCAGCAGCACAGGCATGAAGCGAAGAAAATAGCCATAGGGCACCGTGCGCGGCGGCCGCGCTTCATCCAGCGCTGGGTTCGGCTTCAACCAGGGCAGGGGACTGAAGGGCGCAGCGAGTGCTGAAGGCATTAGCTTCTCCTGCCCGGATGGCAGGGCCATGCAGGGCCCAGGTGAAACCTGGCAAAGTGATGCAAAGTGGCATAGTTACTGATGGTTACTGATAGTTCTCTTTAAAATTGAAGTACCGGCAAGGTGGACGATGTGGATTTAAGTATGGGAGCAACAGCCAGGTGGACTGATCAGGCTTCCGCATCGTGATAGGTAGAAACATATGCCAAAAAAAAAAAACTCCGACAGCTCGCCAAAAAGTATGGACCAGCACCAGCAGCACCATGTGTTTTTACTTGTCCTGGATGATGCGCTGGCACCAACACATCATCTTGGGCAACAGTTCCTTGATTTTGCGATTCCATGCGCTGCAGTGCAACTCATTCCTGCACAAGGAGGGTGGTGTATGTGCAAGTGTTGATGGCGTGACAGTGTCTTTGGGAACTGCACAGCCCCCATGGCCCAAACTGGTCCTGGAGGCGGTGACGTTGAAGTTGGCATGAAGCACCACACGCCATCCGAAGGAGCGAAGGGGTAAATAGCAGAAGGTCTGCTGCAGAGTCGGTTGTTCGTCCTGCTACTGCTGCCGGGTGGCGTTCAAATACTGGCCGTTGGCTCCCATGAAAAATGATCATAGTCAGTTTTCATCATGTCAAGTGGGGACATCGAAACTGACACATGCCTGAAATCGCTCGCCAAATCCGTTTTTGTCATAATGACAATAATGGCTCACACTCTGACAAAGGTGCATCCCTGTGGCTTGCTGGCAACCTCAGAAACCTATATAGATGATGACTGATGATGAACCAATTCCCTCTTGCCTTCTGCCACTCCAATAGGCTTCCTTTCACCTGGCGATGGGCCCCGAACGACTGGTTGATGAGCTAGTGATTCACAAATGCCATCCCCGCCCTGTTGATGGCCATCTCACTTTGAAACATCTAGGAGTGGGAAATCCTCCAGAAATGTAGGTGATTTGTTTCATGAACTGACTCAGGGTGCCAAATTGGTTTGCCAATCCTTTCATCGGGATCATCGGGCAAATCACTAGGACCACCGGCCACCGGCCCACCGGCAGCGGAAAGGAGATCTTGAGCTTCACCATCTTGGGGTCTTTGTTGCTGAAGGGAAAGGCTCCCTCCGCGCACAGCCTTGTTTGAGGCAGTTCAAAGGGTTGGAGTCCGCTTGGGGCATCACAAATCACAAACCTAATGTATATGATTTTGTGGCTGGGATCATGCTGTAAGGATTCAAGAGATAAGGCTCAGCAAGTACAAAGCGAAGAAAGCGCGCGAGAGTAGCATGGCAATGAATTCGTTTTCTTCCCAGTTCTTCCCATATAGATCATAGAGCACGTTAACACTGTTCCAATGGAAAATGGCTCTCCACCTGCTGCCCCAGTGGCCAATTCCGTACCTCGCCATCACTTATCTGAACGAGCCTGCCGTAAAGCTGGTTTGAATCGGCGTCCACTCGCTTCAGGGTAATAAGATGGGGGAACTTTCTTTGCGCTTCTGGTTCATCAAAAATTCAAGCATTTTATATAAGCGGTGTGCAGTTGGCAGTTGGACCAAACTCCCCTCCACAAACTCCCCGAAAAACCTGGCTCGGTCACAGCCCCCCATTCATGTCCATGTTTCTGGGACCGTCGTCCCCGCGTTGCGCCCTGCTCCCACATTGAGAACTGAATTATTTCACACTATCTCACTGGTATAAATACTATAAATCAATTTAAATCAATACAAATCACCCCGGTGAAAATCGGGCATTGAGGATCCAATTTGGAAACATCTTTGCAGAGATTGGAACGCTCAAAACTTGGAACACTTGTAACCCCATTCACGTCCGCGTGTTTTCTCATGTTCTGTTCAGTGATTGGGGGCAGCTACCCCCAAAATACCTGGCACCAGATTTAAACTCAAAAGTTGGAGTTTTAACATGACCAGTTTCTCGGAGCCCATGCCCATTCTCCATGTCCGCCTCCAGTCCACCTCCCCGTAGCGCTGCACCGTGCACAGATCCGTGGAGCGCAGGCAGCGTCCGCTCGGTGCCAGGGGCCGGTCCTCGGAGATCTGCGAGGAGTTGCACTGCTGAAGCACCAGACACCTGGACCGATGGGGTGAGAAAATTCTTGGTGAAACGGAAACGGAAACCAACAGATTTAACCAACAAAAAATAGTGATGTAAATAGTGACATCTAGTTAAACTAAAACAAATGATGATGGGACATGAGGTATCATGGGAATAGAATGAGATATATTTTGATGGGATAGAATGGGATAACGCCCAAAAGGTGAGGCTGAAAATGGGATATATGCCCAATTGACTAAATTGATTACAATTTGAATGGGAAATATTGGGAACAACCATTGGATTTTTGATATTTTTGTGGCGCCCTATTTTCAGACAATGTGTTTGATATGCTGTACATGTGGAATTTCGATGGATTGAATGATAGGCTTATGGATTTGAATGGAAAATCTGCATGAAACCCTGGATTTCAGTCCGAAAAAGCACCCTCTGGTAACCAAACAGGACAACAGGAAATCTAATATCTATAGATCATGTTCCCACTAAAAGTGGATTTCCCATGGCCATGTTGGATTACCCGAAGGTAGCTAGGGCTTTCCTGAAAAGTTTCCTTAAACCAATATAGATGTCTTGAACTTGAGGCCCAGGGATAAGGGACGAAAGCTCACTTGGCAGGGAGCTTAGCATTTTTTACACACCATGGTGTGTTTAGGATGCGGATGCTGCGGATGTTGCTATGTCCCCGGGGTTGAGCCACGGCCAAACTGCTTGGGAAGCATCCAGGGGAGGGGTAGTTAACTGCCTTCGTGACTTGGACATCAGCCCAGTGCCTCGCCCGTTTGTGGTTTATTATTGGATATTTAAGGAACCCTGGTTTGGGATGAAACCATATGACCCCCAAGTACTTGGCTCATATGTATATTGGTTCATAAATCCCAAGTCTCCCGCCTGAGCTTGTTGAGGTTCAACAGCAGGGTGCCGTCCAAGGCTTTAAAGTCCTCGTTCAAGAGCGCCTGGCCAGAGAAACCAACCTTTCCGATCTGAGCCTCGATTGGTGTGATCAATTGCAGGGGAAAAGTAGTGGGAGGGCATATTTTCCTCTCCAACCAAGGGATATGTTCTGAGGAAGCCATCTGCCTCCCAATCAGAGACCAAAGCCAGTCTTGCTTTTTACAGTCTTGCTGGAGAATTGAGGGACCTTCTCATCGTTTCCCAGCTCCTTTTTGAATGGCAGCCGGATTTCGGTGGTCCAATGGGGGAACTTCATATCCGACTCGGCCACTTCCTCCGGGACGATGTAGCCCAGCTCCTGAAGCCGCTATTGGACTTCCCTTCGAAAGGGATGTGTGCCCTTCGAAATGGTGAAAAATACAGGTTTTGTGGTCCCTGCATCAAAAAATTGGGGGTTGAGCCAGTCATCAAATGCAAATGTCGTCCAATGTAAAAAAAAAAAAACGATCAACAACCTGGAGATTGACCACGAATAACAACTGGATGGTTGAGCCATCCACCCTGACATGAGATACTTGGGACCATTCCATTGGAAATGCAGCTGAATGGGAGCTGATTATCACACACATCACAGATCTCACACGCTGTGAATATCTGTGAATATTACCCTGTCATGTTGCCTTGCAGCATCTAGTGACTAGCCTGCCAATGGAAAATCACAATTTGACCCATCTTGTTGTTTCCTTCCTCTTTTGATTGTGTGCTTTCTTTTTTCCACCCAAGTTTGTGCTGGAAAATCCTAATGTTTATCTGTATGCATCTGATTTTCCTGTGTTCTCTCCCATCCTTGATATTCACCGTCGCCAGCTTCAAGCCCGCATTGAAGCGGAAGTGCCAGCCAGCACTGTGAATGATAGGCGTGTCGGTGATCTTGAAAACCTCGGATGTGCCCCCATGGCATCTCCCCTTTGCATAGAAGGGTAGATGCAGAATGATTTGCTGCGGATGTGTTATATATATATATATAATTTGCAAACCCATTTGGATATATCATACATACTATGTATATATATATATATGGGATGTGTGTGTGTGTGCAAATTAAAGTCATGAAAGTACTCTGACGAGTTTCACTTGATGATGGATGTATCTTTAAAGTTTAAAGATCCAAGAAACCGACTTGAAGCCGATCCCCTTCCTGCCTGGCAATCGATCCAAAAGTGGCTAAACCGACATCAGAACACCCACACATCAATTGACATGCACATAGGTGCACACTCACATTGCAGGGCTGTTTCTATTTGATTCCAATGGCGCATTTGAACAGAGAGAGAGAGAGAGAGTGAGAGTGAGGGTGAGAGTGAGAGTGCGAAGCGCATCCATCCCATTCTTCAAGTCTTCCCACATCCATAACATTCTGCAGCTGCCTATCCGCTCCGCACCATCCGACAGCTGCGGTTTCGTCGAGGAGTCCACACTGCACAACGACTCCACGTTAGCCTCTGAAAGGGGTGTGCTGCTGTATGCTCACGTCCGGCCTTTGACTCTAGAAATTCTGTGGGAATGATATGGGATGATATGGGATAGACGACATCAGTCCTTGTAGTTGGGGAGACACCACAAACTCAACAACTTCGCCCAGGTACGCCGCATCTGTATATGGCTAGCGGCTACACACGACCCCCACTCCCCACATCCACCATCTCCAGGCGCCTGTTCAAAGCCAACTTCGTTGGAGAGTGCAACCAGCATGTTTTCGCCTCAGGACGTGGAGTCCTTCCTGGGGCCCCACCTCAAAAACTGAAGCATCACCACTATCCAAGTGACATAGGATCAGCTTGTAGCATGGTATCTCCGTTTCCGGGTACTTGTTGTCATCCCCATTCTGCAGCAGCTCGAAAACGAAGTGGTGCTGCTCGCGGTACAAGTCCTCGCCCAGGCGCTTCAATGCGCCGCCCAAGTTGCGCTGTAACTGGGCGGCGTGGGCCGAATCCAGGCAGAAGTCCTGACGGATCTTCCGCAGAATGGCCAGCTTCTCGGTGTCCTCACCAAAACATGGGGAAAAACACAGGAAACTGTAAATGAGTTTAGACAAGGTGGCAACCCCCGCGCATGAAAGAGATTCTCACTTCAGGCCTTACCAGGATGAAATACGTAGATTAAATTGGGAGAACCACCGACCCAAACCCAACAGTTGACCTTTGGTGGAGGGGTGGTGGAGGGGTCCCATGAAGAAACATCTACAAGTAGCTCCAGTTTTCTTGACATTTCGCCACACGTCGCCATGCTGCGCCACGCGTGACGTATCCTTGGACCCTCCGATTCATTCAAATGTCCTATTTGATGCTCAATCTATCTCCAAGTCATTCAATTCATTCCATTGTGCGGGAAAGAAACCTTCAGTCAACGGGAACTAAGGAGCAAACGCCTCTGTGAGTTAGCAGGGCCCAGCCTCCAGCGCTGTGGGAGGCAAAATTTTCTCGGCAGCCGAAGGTTTCCAAATTTCCTGAGTGCTGGGCCAAGGGGCAAAGGGACTAGGACTCAGAGAGCAGGGAAGTGCAGAAGAAATCTGCTGTTTGGATCATTATTGCCGGGCTGTGGTTTATTGCCGGGCATCCCCGCACGTACAGACGTACGGGTATGATTTCTCATGGCCCCCAAACGGTTGAGAATTGCAATAATAAATCATCCGGCTCATCATAATTATACCAATAACCCCCCACCAATTGTTTGTTGTAGGTCTCTCCCCCACAAATAGTGTATTGTGGATCCCACATTTCCCCCAACAAAGCACATCCCATCAGTACAGTCTGGGCCGCTTGCACCACTTCCGCCTTCTCTACTGTCTTCTCCTGGCGGTTCTTCGTCACCGCTTTCGAAGCCGCGACCGCGGCACCGCCATTGAGAGTCGCCGTGGCTGCCGCGGGGGAAATGCCCAAGGCGCTCAAGAAGTGAAGCTCACCACTTTGCGTCTGCGATGGCATGTCCTTGGTGTGGCATGAGCATGAAGAGGAAAAAAGAAACAATATATACCGCACCTACTTTTTACCATCAAGAAATGTAAAGCTACAAAAAGTATCAAAGTATGGTTTGTTTTGGGTTTGCCACATTCCTGGGGCTCTGGAAAACTGGGATGAATATCGGTCAAGGCTCCGAGGTCCAGCAGCGCACGTCCCACAGCTGTCCCAAGGCCAGGAGCATATTGCTACAGCCCAGGCGATTGGCCGCGCTGCGGCATTCCTCCGACCAGGCCACCTCCTCCTTGTGGGAAGAGGAACCCCCCCTGGAGCTATGCAGCTACGCCATAAGCTGGGCTTGATGATAGTGAAGCTTGAAAGGACCCATGACTTTGGGTCTTCTCTCTTTTTTGGTGGTGGATCAAGGTGAAAAAGTCTGGACCACTCAAGTTTGATCCGTGCCCCTGCTCCCTACCTTGAGGCAAGGGAGCACCACTAGCTTCCCTAAATGAGGTCGCAGCCCACTGGGCAAAAACTGCAGCACGGCCACAGCTAAACTGCTGGCCACTGCGCTCGCTGAATGTTGCGACTCGAAACCTGGGTGAAGACTGGAGGAAAACTGTTGAACTTGGCCGGTGACCCGGAAGTTGCCATGCTTTTCATACCGTAATCCCGAAGAAAGCAGGGCACTCCATAACCAACAGCCGGTTTGGCTGCTGCGCATTGGGGTCCTCACTGGTGCTCATGGGGGGGGGAAAAGGGCACAGTCATTTGCGTTGGTAGGCTGAGCCTAGCACCTTTCTCGCTAACTGTCGCAACTTATCCACAGCAGCTGCAGCAAAGGCTTAAGCATTTGGGCGGTTGGACCACCAAGATCCAAACAAGATTTCTTTACCAGGCCCCTGCCCCCCAAATCCCCCAAAAGTCCCAAGAGCTTGGCCACTTGTCCCGACTTGTCCCTTTTTACCCCAATTTGCAGGTCATCATTGGCCATGGAAAATCAAGCTAGACAGTGGCCTGCCCGGCCGAGTCACGTTGCTTCAAAGCTTTGAGCCCCTCACGGAAGTAGTAGACCAAAGCCTGTGAAGCAAAGTCAATTTGCCACTCGAGCCGCTATTCTAGTCAGATCTTACTTTTCTATCTTTGGGATTCTGTTTGGATGTGGCAGACAATGAACCACGCCCCAATGTTACCATAAGCAGGTGGGAAGCCAACCATCCCCCAAACACAGTCACTAGTAGTTCTTCATCCGGCTTTACCACATTCATCGCCTCAACACAGCTTTAAACAAACATCAAGCCACCATAAACCACCATTCACCATAGGTTCCCATAGATTTCCATAAACCATGTGAAACCCACTACCCTCCGGTAATTTAACATAGCTATTGAAAATTGCCATTTATAGTGAATTTTCCCATGAAAAATGGCGGATCTTTCCATAGCTACGTTAGTTTACCAGAGGGTACAAGGTTGAAAGTGGTTTGAACATGTTTCACCATATAGTTTCCCATAGATTTCCCATAAACCATGGGTTTAACCCACTAGCCTTAGTGACTTCATGTGGCTAACCGTAACCTCATGGCTCCCACCTCCACGTTGTGCGGCTCTTCGATGCCCAGCGCCGTCAGCATGGCCGCCGCCGTCTTCGCCTGGCCCTCCGCGACGGCCTGCTGCAGCGCCTCCACCGAGGCGTCGCAGGGCAGGCGCACCAGGCGTGGCGCCAGGCTGGCGCAGGGCAGGGAGCCGGGCGCCAAGACCAGGAACCTGGCGCGCCCGGGGGAGATGATGGATGATATGGGAAAAAATGGGAAAAATATGGGAAAATCATAGGAAGATATGGGATTGTAGCTATAACATGCTATAACATATTTGGAAAATATAGGACAATCATCGGAAAGAGTTGGAAAATTCAGAACTAAATGAAGGTTTCTAGCTGGGAAAATCATCAAAAAAAAATGGGATTTGCCAGCAAGCCACGGTTGAGGAGGGTAAGCAAAGAGGTTGCGGCCCCATAGTTATAAGTGGATTCACAAACCCCACGGATATTAATAGTTAAAGTGTTAAACCAGTTATCACCATGAACCTTGTAAGCCAAGTTCACTAACTACGGGGACTTATACCACTACCTTGCACCACTTGTATCCAAATAATACTTGTGCCATGTGAGCTGGGGAATAATAAAACAAACCCTGAGGTGATAGGGGAAATGATAGAGATCATCAATGTTTTTTCACAAATGATAGGAAAGAATTGGGATTTCGTAGTGATTTTGTAGTCACTTGGGGTGGATTTTGTTGAGATTGTGGGCTAAGGAACAAGCTGCCAATGTTTTAAAGTGATTGTTAGATGATTCATGATGATCTGAGGGTCAATGATTTGAGTCAATTTCATTGATACAGGGAAAAATTACGGGAAACCACAGTTTTATACTCAAAATGTTGGGACCAGCAACTCACAAAATGCAAGGATGGATTTCGGATGTGTATTTCAAACGTGAATCTTGGGTAGGTGTTTCCATGAGATTATCGTGGAAATCTGCTTTGATTATAGCTGATTTCAGGGGATCAATGTTTGGGATGGCAAAACCTATATATATATAATCCTTTTTGGTGGATTCTAGATGTTCTTGGTGCCTGAAATGAGTGGATTCTAGATGAGTTTAGGTCATAATTAGCAAATCTCTTCCTGCACTGGGTTGGCTCCCAGACTTAGCCAGTTGAAGGGGTTGCAATCTGTGACCCTGGCACCTCAATTGATGCTTGTGGAGCTGCTCCACTTGATGAGACAAAAAGTCCTCCAGCGACCCCAGGCTGGGCGCAAAGAGGGCCTGGTGATGGGCAGATTCACAGGGTACCATTCATGGTCAATTCTCACTGTTCTCCATAGGAGGTACCATCTGGTAATTTAACATAGCTATTGAAAATGGCAATTTATAGTGAGTTTTCCCATTAAAAATTGTGATTTTCCATAGCTATGTTAAATTACCAGAGGGTACAAGGTTGAAAGTGGTTTGAACATGTTTGAACTGTTTCTAACCATGGGACTGGCTGTCGCTGCTACAGCTTATCACTTTGGACGGCCTGAAAATTCAGCACATCGTCATCCAAGCGGCTGCAAGTCATGGGTCTCCGGCCGACTTTGACAAGCGCCGTTCAGATATATTTGGAGATGGAAAACTTTTGAATTCCCAACCATGTGTAGATAGATACCTATTGTTTTATCTTAAAGTCATTGTATCTGTTCCTACCATATTTTGTATTAGTGCATTCTGTTATTCTATATTCAGCTATATCATGTAACATATCTACAGTTCCTTACTTCACAATTGCTCACGTTAGCCCAGCTATTGGAGTTTAATCCCAGCTATGAATACACCCAGAAAATCCAACAAAAATATGCCCCATTTTCAAGCTCCAGCGCGGGCCTGCCAGGAGGTGTTTGTTTCCACATCCTCCAGGAAATCCATTTGTGCCAAGGCTTCGAAGCCTTGCTGAATGGTGGCATGCCGCCGGCCTCAGTCAAATTCGGCGCGCTGGGCAGTTCCGGCTGGAGATCTCCATGGTGGGCGTCCAGGGGGTTTGCCCGAAATGAACAGCACAACGCAGCGAAGGTGGGACATGGTGATAATGCCAGGCTAAATCACTGCAAAAAAATGTCCCACTCATCTAACTGGGTGAAGTAAGATGCAGTTCAGTACTCACTAAGTGGGATGCACATCAAAGTATCCATGCTGGATGTGGGAAAAAATTGATGGAAAGTGGAGTAAACATGATGGAAACTGACTGGAATGGTCGAGGTTGCGAGTGTCCTGCACGTTTTGGCCGGAACTTGTGAATACTGCATCCCGACAGGTCACTAAGCCAAGGAAACTTGTTGTCTCACACAGGGTTGGAGAAACAAATGCTCTAGAACCATGAACAAAACACGTTGAACCAACATGGCAGCTGGAATCTTAAAATCCCTTTAAGGAAAATTGTTCAAATTGAACTATAATCTACCAAGTGGGTATTTTCAATGAAGTGATCGACCCCTTTCCTGCCTGCTCCAGAGATATAGGTCTCCTCTGCCTCCTGTCACAGCTTGTTTGAACCAAAGTCCAACGCTTGTTGCGCTGCTACCAGCGAAACAACTTCCAAAAATATCACAAATATTTACCATTTCCGCCCAGTGTATCAATCCAGGCTTGACATTTAATTGGTAACTATCCCACATGAACTCCACCCAGCCGCCATCCACCGGCCTGAAAGGTGTGGCCATAGTATTGCGCCAAGTCTTCAGCCGCGCGACTGGCAGCTCGCGCCTCCATGGACGCCAGGCTTCCATTCGTGTGGCCATTGTGGCCTGAGACCTGACCAGGCTGAAGAGGGCACAAACTATCCCAACAACTCCATCCATTCTGTCCAACCCTTCGGGGATGTAATTTATCGAAATTTCATGAAATGTCCCTCTAACTGAATCCATGGCTTGTTACATCGTTTTTGTTGCCTCACATCCCTAAAACTCGACAGAAACCTTACTTCTAGGTGCTCACAACATCGAAAAAAGGTCAACACCTTGAGGTTTCGCCATGTCCCGCATCTCACCAGTTTTCGTTCTCTTCTCCCAGGCCTCCATCCGTTTGGAGCTGTGCAGCTGCCCCAGCACCGCCGCTTCGAAGTGCAGCCCCTCGCGGCCCTCGCGGCCCTCGCGGCTTTCGCTCGCGGCGACCCGTTGGGGCGGCAGGCCCAAGGCGGAGCCGCCGCCAGTGAGGCCGAAGTGGTGCCGGTAGGCCACCTGCGAAGGGGCGCCCTTTGGGGTTTCAGCGGGATGAAGGGAAAAAAAAAACTTGATGGATGGATGTTGGATAGATGAATATCTAGAAAATTGATAGATACCTCTTAAAAGAGATGAAATAAATAGATGAACCATGGATAAATCCATAAATGAATGGATCCATAAATGAATGGATCAATGAAGCATTAGTGAATCCATAAATGACTGAATTAACATGAATGAAAACGATGATTAGTTGATAGATACCAAAAAATAATGGCTGTAGATACAATGTTTAATTATCTAGTTTTCTACCATTTCAATGGGAGCCGGGTCCATCATTGTGGGGACGAGGCTGGTAACTCCTGGCCATGAGGGTATGCCACAATCATTTCGATGAGTACCAAATCCCTATGGCCTACGAAAACAGGAAGTGGAATAGCCTTTGTCTGGGATGTTCATCTGCTTTCCCCACAAGATATGTTTTCGGGTAAGATGCTGACCTTTTATACAATAAATATGCGCTTTGTATGCGCAGTTTCTTTTTGGTTTGCCTTCTTCCTCCTAAAATCCCAACGAAAAAAAATACTTCAAAGTGAAACAGAATCAGCACTGTACATAATTTCACTGGATACGGCTATGGGTCGAAACCCTAATGCCATAGGTTTCACTGCAAACTGGTACCCCATGAGGCACCTCAGAACCACAGCTGCTGGAAACAAAGTTGGCGTGGCTCTGCAACAAGTCGAAAGCCTTTACGTCCTGCTCGAGCCAAAACGATGGTGAAACTTGTAGCTACACAATATTACCCAGAAAGAAAGTGAGTGGAAGTAAATTGAACACACATTACCCCTGCATTTCCCAGGGCTTACCAAGTAAGAAACATGAACCATGTCATATGCTAGAGCTGCTAGAGCAGTTCAGGAGAACAAAACGTTTGATCGGCCAGGCCCAAGTTTGGGGATGAAACTAAGAGAAGCGGGGATTGGCCGAGGCCGGTCCTAGTTGGTTGACGTTGCCAATAGCACCATGTTTGTTTGGGAGTACCACCCATTTGGTATAATAAAATACCCGTAGATTTCATTACCCCATTCGAGCCCCAGGCTGCCAACATGGCAAACCCAAGTAGTTAGAGCATCAGATGATGATGATTATTATTATTATTACTATTATTATTATTATATTGATTTACTCACCCCGGACTCACCCCGGACTCACCCCCAAAAAAAACAAAAAACATGAAACGTACTGAAACGTACTGAAACGTAACATATAAACCCCAACAAACAAACAAAAAAAACTGTGAACCAGGTAGGATAAACAATGGTAAAACCCACCATTGCCCCATGGTAACCCCCCTGCCGCATGCTGTCCTGCACGCGCGTGGCCCATACACTGCCCCAGCTATGCTGTGCCAGTTCGCCCAGGCGCAAACCCGGACACCTCGGGGTTGAGATGTGGAGGTCAACCCAAAACAAACGAGTTATTAAGATGTAGAAGTTGGTAACATCTAAGTCTGATATTTCATGGTAGATCATGGGCTTATGGAGAAATATAAATGTATGTGTATATATGTATATTTATGCTTGTGTGTATGTGTGTGGTGTGTTCTATCTTTCTGGGGTTCGAAACGGAGTACCATCTATATATAAAGCATGAAGTACTATGGGTTGAGACTGGTTTTATATTATTTGACTTTAAAAAAAGAAAACCACTGATTTGACCATCAAAATGGGGATTTGAACTTGAACCATGAAGATTGGGATGAACCATGATGAGGCCGCTAAAAAAGGAGATGTAACCAACCATGAATGGGATATGGAAATTTTAGCCAGCTAATAGGTGGTACACTCCCTGACACACCCACCATGTTTCCAAAGAAACCCGGCCAAAGGTGATATCCGGAGGTAAATTCCCACTGAATAACCCATTTCTAGCTGAGGAGGGTTGCCCTACTGGAGACCTAGCCGGGTGTAGGTGAGAAACCCAATCATTTGGGTTGAAATCCCAGGGTTTGTTGATTCCAATCCCCTTCTTCTCGGATAAGATATCTCTCTTTGTGTGTGTTGGTTCAATATCCCTAGAAAATATGGCCTTATATGGTACAGTACCTCCAATTTAGGATCCTGGAATTCCCATTGATTGGTGGGTTGTTCTCCGATCTTTGCAAAGTACGACGCCAAGTTTCCTTCTTTCAAATCTGTTTGTCTGCTCTTTACGGTAAATTCAGCCCGTTCCCCATCTGTATCATGGATCTGCATCCCCCCGCTGGGTGCGGTCCAATTGAAGGCCCAGAATACCGCAGATTTATGCAGATTTGGGGTCCCTCTTTTGTATCCAATCCCATTTTGGTACCAAGATTGACCTACACCCATGTCCAAATGATTTCCTGCAACTGATACTAAAACCCCTCCCAAACGAAACCCTTTTGAGTATTAGATCTATTCCTTTAGGGCAACCATTCGTGTGAGCCATCAAAAATACTCCTATCCCCTCTCATTATACTAGTCGGTTGATGGTTTTCCCAAATAGGGATTTGCTCATAATCCCCAAGAACCAGGGTAGCTCATGGTAGTACAGTATAACATAGTATAACTTCTTATACTCACCGTTACTCACCTATCAACAAGGCGATTCTTTATGGCACCCATCCAGTGATGGCAGCGCCTCAAGCGTTCCTCCAGCTGCTCCAGCAGCTGCAGGTCCAGCACGGAGCTGCTGGGACGCAGCTCCAAGAGCACCTCATCCGCCTGCGAGATGCGGGTCGAGTACCCCATCCGTTGAGCATGGACACGGTGGACACATGACCCAGAAGGGACCCATTCAATAAGTCTGAAATCATGGATTCATGTGCTAAAACTTGTGGATATTTGCGGATATATATATATACACATACACAAAAGGTGCGTCATGTTGAGCTTTAAACCATCCATCTCACCCGCTTTTGGGGTGATAGCTTTGACCCCATACCGGCCCATATCGTACATACCCATGTATGTGATTTTACATGTATAAATAGGCACAACCAAAAATATGGGGATAGATCCCTGCGATCCCAGCAGTGGGAAGGCACCTTCCGCAGGAGGTCCGACACATCCACGTCTTCAGCGGAGGCCGCTCCACCAAGCGTGCGGGCCTACAACAGCAACACGACCATCTTCGCGATTGGAATTACCCAAGTTCCATGTTTAAACATATTACCAGTAATATATATCTATATATCTAATATGTGTGTGTGTGACTTTTAAAAAAAAAAAGAACTATTCTTATCATTTGGAACTGAGTCAGTAACTGGCCATTTGGCTTTCCATACGACCTTTCTCAGGGCGGGCACCGTGGCGCACCTGCACCAAATGAGTTTCCAGCATTTCACGCAGCTGGGGCTTGGAGTTGAGGAAGTTTAGGAAAGTTCCTCGACGACCGCGGAAATCCTAAAATGACCAGTCATGGAAATGACTATGGGAATTTATGGCAATATCTATGGATACTCAAGCATATTCCATCGTGATAATGATGGATAATAATGGATATTGATGGATGGTTGATGGATGTTGATGGATTGTTGATGGATTTTGGTGGATGTTGATGGTTTCTTTAAGATTCATCTTCGCCAAAAATGGCCATCATTGGCTGAGCGACTGGTTGTTTCCAAAAGAAATCCAGATTCAAAACCATTCCTTTGATTTGCGCCGCTGATCCCAATCGAGACTTCCAACTATCAAAGAAGCATCCGCTTCAAGCACGGGTTTCCAGTGGTTTATCATCCAGTATCTGGATAGCAGCCACCGTCACTCCATGTCTGACCCGCTCACCAGGCAATTTCCCTCTAGCAAGCAACAAACAAACAAACAAACAAACAAACAACAAACAAACAAACAAACAGCAAACAGAAGCAGGGCAATGGAAAATCCTCCATTTGCAGCTCATTTGGCGCATTTCCTCCAAATGAACTACCAGCGGCCAGGTATCCAGGCCCTTGTGACCCTTGTGACCCTTGTGACCCTTGTGGCCCAAGCCCTGCCTTCCCCTGGAAGTAGGTCTTCCATCGAGGCACCCACCCCCAGTGACAGCCTCTCAAGCCTGATTCATGCGGACTGTCCATGCTTGTCCCCGTCCAATGCTGGAGGACTGATTTCCCTAGCCCAGTCCCCGGTTGATTTGGTTCAGACATGTTCAGGCTAGTTCAACATTCGACAACCTCATCTCGTGCTATTCCACGTTCTGCTCCAAGGAGTAGTTAAACAAGGGCGAGATGTTGCAGAAAATGAGGGCATTCTCCAAGTCTGTTTCAACGCGTTTCTCGGCGGCCTCCCTATTCTAGAAACAAGAGAAAAAACTCGAGCGCCTCTCCCCATCCGCATCCATCCACAGTTTTCCATACATGTCTATACATTGTTATACATTTCATGACATTTCCACCACATTCTCATCCCCATCCGGCCCATCCCCATCCCACCTCTGCAAAGCCGCCAGTCCCCGTTGCCCATCGCGCAGCACTTGCTCCAACTGCCGCCGCACCGTCTCCTCCAACTCCAAGGGCGAGATGGACAGCGAAGTATGCGCAGCGCTGCCAAGCCCCATGGCAGCGCTGCCAAGGGAGTCCGGGGCGCCCTGAAAGCACAGGGCGTGGAGTTTCTAACCACAATCTACTATAAACAATGGATGCCATCACAGTGGACATATTCCAATGATTCCCCGTGTACTTCTACCGTCTTATATCATCTTATATCCCAGAATAATTGATATCCACAATCCACATTTCTATACACTGGGTCTAGGATACCACTGAGGAACTGGGCCGCCTCAGTCTTCAGCTCCACTGCCAATGCCATGGCCAGGGGCCTGGCGATCGAAGGAACAAAGTTGAAGGGTTTGTCATCCAAAATGAAGGTTTTAACTTTCACCGTCCGCAAACAGGTCATGTCAACCCGGGTCGTGCATTATGAAGAGTCTAAATCTATTGAAATGGGATCTCCTATTGTGAAATATGTGGCTACTAGTCCTGGATCCACATTGCCAATTTGTCCATCTGGGAAAATGATCTCAAACGTTGATGGATGAAGTGTGCAGGTCAGCGCCCTTTAAGGCTGAAGCAGCAACCTGGTGTTCTTACTCGAAAGGAAAAGCTACCCTTTCGAACCTGTAGAACTTCCTTGGTTTAGCACGTCCCAAGCTGAGTTCTCTAGAACTGGATCATACCAGCCGTTTTTGTAGCCTTAACCGGGATGGTTTAGGATAGGGCATGTCCTCCACCCTCGGCCTCAGGGGCTTGGCATCACAGTCACGCCCCAATTTATGCTGGGCCCAAAGGCGCAGGTTCCATTCCAGCTGGGCGGCAGTTTGCGACCTGAGGTTGAGGTTAAAAATGGTTAAAACAAAAGGAAATCATCTGATCCCCGAAATCGAATCGTGGATGTTGCTATCGCGCGACTTGTTCTAAATTGTCTAAACGCAAATCTCTTGAATCCAAGGCAATTTTTCCTTGGTGATACTCCTGCTTCGCTGAGTGGTTGCAACCAGTTCACCAAGTTCACCGAGTTATCCCGACACCCGGCACCCACCTCGCTGCCTTTCGCCAGCGCCGATGGAAGTCTTCGTAGGCCGCCTGCTCTTCGTTGCCGCAACCTTGACGCGCCAGGGTCTCCACCTCATCCTCGGCCAGCTGCAGAAGCTTCTCCAGCCACTTCTTCTCTGCCTGATGGGGAAAATGATGGGAGAAATTTCCAGAAAAAAATACCCTCGGGTGGTTGAAGCCATGATTTTGTTGATTTTAAACCATCCTGAAATCCATGTTCATACGTTTCATCATATTGTAATATTATATATATATATATGTGTGTGTATGACCATATTTTGTTGGGCTTCAGGCGGAGAAGACCTTCTGAGAGCTCCACCAGTGATCCTAATGTCATCCTATGTCTTCCCAGGTTTGTGGTTGACACGCCAGGGTTTCAAATGGGGCCTAAACCCAAGGCCAAAAGCCAGGCAAAAATAGTACCAAAGGTTTGACCGAATCGTTTCCTTCCCTGGGTGTAACCCGTTTGAATCCCTGAAATCACAATATTACGACATCTTGGCCGTCCAAATTGGAGAAATCCAGGGGCTGCATGGATGTGGGCAGACTGTGGGCAAAGCGTGGGACCAACCCCCGAAAAGAAAATGAGAGACCCTCTACGAATCAAACGTGGCGAAGGGAAATCACACAAATTATGTACAAGTGGATTTCCCCAAATTCGAAACTGGTGTTTCCCCAATTGCCATGGTTGATTGCCACCCCCAGTCATCTTCCACTCAGCTCTGGTGACTGCCATCTTCCCCCGGCCTCCTGTTGCAAACGATCTTGTTGTGCCAATGCACCGTTCATGGCACCCATCACCAAACCAAATTTGTGCTGATTGATGCCTCATCGGCCAGAGTGCGGTGGGGTGCGGTGGGATGCCCTCGAAATCGACCCCAACAGAATCTGTTTTAGTATGATGATGTATGATGTTTCTTTTCCACAGTTCTTTGGGGGATGACCAAAAACCCCAATTATCATCATCCATCGACGAGTTCAAGAGGACTATCCCGGCCACGCCAAGGTACAAACACCACAGTCTTCCAACAAGAGTCCCCGCGAGTAGAGCCATTGTTGGAAGTCTTCGAAGCGAATATCCTGAGAATCAACGCTCATGGCTATCTAAAACCAGGGCCTTGATATAAAGAAAACTTACCCAGCCAGGCTGCAATTCACATCTGGAATATGGCCTGCACTCTTTCTATTCACAAGTTGTTGCATATGTACATGAAAATATGGTTTCCTGTACATTTTGCATATGTACATGTACAAGCTGTTGCATATGTACATGTTGCATATGTACACACTTAATGATTGAAACACATAATTGCATCCAATCATCCAACTACTGTCTGCATATCTACAATTGAAGTCTCTCTCTCTCTACCTTTCCATCTACACTTCAACTTCTTCTATGTGAGGTGATGCCACCTCAATGATTCCGGCCTTCTCAAAGTCGATCTTGCCGTTCAACCCCGAACTGTCCACGCGATGTTGAAACAACAATTCTAAGGCGGCCACACCGTCCTGAGATGCGGAGGCATGCGGAGGCCCATGCGGCGTTTTTTGGTGCTTTCGAAGCAACGCTTGGCGTTGTGGCCTTGGGATTTTCTGGAAAGTCATGGTTAAAACTTAAAACATATCCAAAATTATCCAAATCATTGCCTGAAAATGGAATACTCTGAAAATGGATGAGGTATCTATATGATCTTTGGATTTCGAGGCTGGAGAGATTGGAATTTGACACGAGTTCACCGTGTTCACCAGCATGATCCTGTGGGTCCTGTAATCTTTAAGTGGAGAATCAACCCGGTCGCAACAACCCAACTATCAACCCAGGTCATCCATGGTCATCCATGGTCATCTGCCCCTGCTACGAGCATCCATCAATTGTGCGGGATCTACCTCGTGGCTGATCCATTTCCATTGTGCATCCTGGAATTCCCAGAACACCTCAAGAAGTCGCCGCACGACGTGGGGCAGCAATCCTTCAACTGGTACGGTGATGTCATCCAGCTAACATGAAATACTGGAAAAAAAACATACAAAATCTTAGTTTAGTATTGGATCTATTCATGTTGGGGCTTCATTTAGTGGTATTTATAAGTACCTGTGGGGGGGACGGGATTAGGGATGGCTTAAACCCAAAAAAGGCCAGGATTTCAATGGGAAAATCCATGTTTTTGAGCCCTCTCCGAGCAGCTACCCCCAAAGCTACGGTTTTCGATTCTTTGGGAAACTTGTTTGAAGGTGAAATCTGCATTTGATGGTCGCCTATCAAGCAATTCTCATCTTCTTCACGTCTAGCCATCCCTGGCCTCAGCCCAAAGAGGATGCTTGGACAAGGAGGGTCCAATCCTCAAACTGCTCCAATTCTCCACGTCATAGAACCTCTTCACCTGCAGAGCCCAACACGGTGTGCTGCTGAAAATGCCAGTCATCTGTTGAAGCTCCTTGCATCCCCATCACTTCCCGATGTCATTTCCATCAAAGGTTTTCTGTTTCTCGGTGCAAATTCACGAATGCGTGATGCAAAATCCATTGTTTCCAGTTGTTTCCAAGGAAAGCAATCCCGCTTTGCCTCGTCATGGTTTCAACATTTCATGGGTCACGTATATCCCATTCTACGGCTGTTGGAGTTGGCTGCCCTCTGAGATCCATAGCCATTCGTTGAAAGCCGAGCCGCAAAGGATGAGGCGATGAAAGCTCGTTCTGCGTCCTTGACTGACCACACGTTGCACAAGCTCCGCATGGACAGTAGGAACTGTTTCAGGGCCTGGGAAGGGCCAGACTGGACTGTCTATTTATTTATTTATCTATTTATTTATCCATCTATCTATCTATCGATCGATCTATCTATCTTATCTTATCCTATCCTATCCGATCTTATCTTATCTTATATATCTTATCTTACTGTCTGTCTGTCTGTCCGCCTGCCTGCCTGTCTGTCTGTCTGTCTATCTATCTATCTATCTATCTATCTGTATATATATATATATATAAATAGGTATAATCATGAAGAACTACATAGATATGATATGATACACGTTGTACGCGACATGATATGTGAAAAAAATACATAAATATATACATGGTACTGTGAGTAGATAGAGGTATGGATATAGATATGGCCATGGATCTAGATGTAGATACAAATGTCGCGGTAGCTGAATCAATGCTGGCATTTTGAACGTTGCAGCAGGCTTGAATAACCCAAGCTGTACTTTGCTAGGCCACTGGGTCTGATCTCTGGTGACTTTCAACTGATGTTCGCAAAAATTCTCAGGCAGTCCATACTACAGTGAATTACAAATTCTTGGAGCGCCTCGGTTGATGCAAATGTCATCTCTAGAACGTGCATGAATACCTACAATGTACAGCTGCACGCATGCACATACATGATAATCCATGTGTCTACTAGTATCACACACCATCGTCACCAGTGCATCCATCTATTAAAATCTACAGTCGAATCTACAGTATTATTGTCCACCTCCTCACCGCTTAGCTATCGCATTTCCATCTCCGATCGCCTGCTCCCTCGGAACCAGCAGGTTCAGCGGGACCAGCTGCGACAGTTCCATGCTGCTCATCTTGAGTATCTCCTACACCAGGTGTCCGAAAATCGCTATAACGGTGAGTGTCAACGTGAGTATAATGGTGGTCATAGTGGGGAATATAACCAACATTACCCAACTTTTTATACATGAGTTCAAAATGGATGTGTGTCTGAGAATAAGTATAATAGGTACGGTACCAGAAGTCGTATGGCCATGTTTATAGGGAAATCGTGGCTTTAGGGGTCCCCTATTTTGAGACGAACCCACATCGATGCCAAGCGGATCTGCAGGACCTCCCACCGAATTTCTGATTTATGGCGTATTGTGACTCACATTGACTAGGTGTGAAGACGGCTCATTGGGGTGAACCACCAGGTGGACGGCGCATGAAAAGGCTCACAAATCTGAACTCAAAAGGCCGCGAACCGCTACCCAGAGAAAAGATCATCTCTGAACTCTGTCGACTCTGGGCATGACTTTACCAATGTTGTAATTGAGTTTATTGCCACCTCTGCTCAAAGAAAGTCACAAGCAGCTCCTCCCGAGCCGCTGGGATTGCGGTACAGGCTCCATCTAACAAAGCTGCGGAGGTAGGGCAGCAACCATCGTTGAGGATGTCATTCATCAAGTCCTCGTGGGGATGGTCCGAACGATTTTGGACTGATGCGTTCCTGGACTCAGGGAACATCCCTGCAAGTCTTCGAGTGTAGAATCAAACCATTTGTATATTGGATCTTGTTGTTCGGAATTATTTCCCATGTTTTCCACAACTTTTCGCACATTCTCCATGCTTCGGCTCCTGCATCCTCGTCTCCAGTTGCTGCCGCACACCCTCGCGCAGGCCCTGGCCCTGGCCCTTGCCTCCGCCCTTTCGCACAGGCGGGGCACGACCTTTGCCTTTTCCGTCCTTTCCTCCTTTGCCTTCTTTGCCTCCTTGACCCTTGCCTGGCCGTGGCCTTGGCACTCCGGGAAGAAGGCCGTGAAGGGTAGGGTTTGTAATGGAGCATGTAAATTGTCCGTACGCACGGAGAGGGGGGAGAGAGAGGGAGGGGGAGAGGGAGAGGGAGAGGGAGAGGGAGAGCGAGAGAGAGAGAGAGAGGGGAGGAGGGAGGGAGGGAGGGAGGGAGAGGTGTACGGCATATAATACTGCATATCTCTCTATATATATATATATAATGTGTGTGTGTGTGCATGCAAATTTGATTAGAACATTGACCTAAAGTAGACTTCTTTGATGAAAATCGCGAGAAAGTTGAAGGTCATCCGAAAATGTCGAACGTAGATAAAACCAGATCGCAAGGAATAATGTTGTTGTTGTTGTCAAGGTTCTTGGCTTAGCCCTTCGCCATGTCCACAAAATACCATGTAAATAAGTTGAAAACGACGCCAAAGAAAATCTCAAATTGCGACAACCGTGTAAAACCAAAATTTCTGTTGTCGGGGTTCTTGGCTTAGCCCCTCGCCATACGAAAAAAATGCAGGTACAGGAATGTGCGTCCACATTCCCTTCCGGCTGAATCCCATAGCTTCGTTGGCATGGCTAGGGAAACAGCTGCCATGCCCCCTGCATTGATTATAACAACCCTTGTAGACGGAGAAAAAAGAAAAAAGAGAAGTTTTACATCTATTTAGATGTTACACACACACACACTTTTCACACATTTTTCGCCTAACTCACTTTTATTATGTTTGGGTTTGTAGTAGGTGCCAACTTCTACATCGCCAAATATTTCAGCTGAAATCATCCATCACCAAAACACCTGCCAATTTCCAATGGTACCTGAGTGCCAGACCCACCCAGTGGATCAGGTCGCAGCCCACGGCCATTGGCCCAAGGGTCACCACCTGCAGCGTGAGATCATGAGGGAGGAACAAATTCATCTGATTGCTCCATGCTGCTTTTTTGTTGCTCTCTTTCTGTGAATCCTTCCAAAAGAATCAGTCATTCTCCACATTTCTCCATTCTACAGGCTCGATCTTGGGGTTGTCAGGGCGCGCGTTTGCGGTGCCTGGTCGTTGGAAAGGATCAGGCCCAGCCATCGCTGCTAGGATCCGTCTACACACCACCCAATTGAATCTCCTTTGACTCAGGACCCACAGTCTGAGCCCTAAAAAGGTCGGCCATCCGTTCTCAGGGAAGCACGCAACTTCTCGCCGCCAACATCATTTTTGGTTGTTTTTGTTTGGGGTGTCCTTCGTTTTCAGCGACAAGTTTCGCCACTTCAGCTACCCCAGGCCCAAACGTGCACTTTTCTGACATAAATCAATTGGCACACGCGATCCTTGTTGGACGTGTGGGACTAAGAGGGATGAAGGTATCTTGCCAAAGAAAAACCTAAGGTCAGGTGCATGGGAGAAGGCCAAAAGTTCATGCGTGTTGTCTATGTTGTCTAAGCAGTGCAGGCTCACTATCTGGGGAATTGGACCTTCTGGACATTTTTCGAAGTCCCGTGAAAATTGTTTTCGAATTTCTAGTGTGTAGGTTTCAAATCGTTCATGCACCATCCAGCTGCAAGTTTGCAAGTCAAGTCTTCAATGATGCAAGTTCCATCCCTGCACTTCAAAAAGTCTTCGGGCAGGACGTTTCGGTTGGCCCGCCCTTGCTTTGCAAAGAGCAGGTACCCCACTCCCACCGTCTACCATACTTTTTGAAACTCATTAAACATCTCCTTGTGACCAACCTACTGGAGTGCCAGCGTCTCTTCCCAAGGCATGGCATGTAAAACTGCCCTTGGGACCGTTTCGGATGATTCTTGCTGCTGAAAACCCCAACCTGTTAAGAGCTGCTTAATTCCTCTATTCATCGCTAAATGAATCAGCCATGACAAGTCACCAAAGCTTGCCCAGTACATATCCACCACCATATCTTGCTGGAAATACACCAGTTTGATCCAGTTAGCACAACCCCTGCCATGTTCGTCATTTCTGACAAAATATATATTTTATTAAATTCATATACGTGTACATATATATATATGTATATATATACCTGTATATATATATATACATATATATATATATTATATGTGTGTTATATGTGTATGTATATATATATATGTGTGTGTGTGTGTAAAAAACTAGACGACGGTTGGCCCGAGAGCGAAAAAGATGTTTTTCAAGCAGCTCGGAGGATGGTAGTCGTAAAAGATAGTCGGTGAATAGTTGGTGAATTTTATATGAGCTATGGAAAGATATGGTGTGAAAAAGTAAGATTGATCAAGAAGAGAATATTTGGTAAAGGGCATCAGATGACATGTGTCTTGCAACCACAGAGAGAAAGAGGGGCGGAGAGATAAAGATAGAGAGAGAGAGAGAAAGAGAGAGAGAGAGAGAGAAAGAGAAAGCAAGAGAGAGAGAGAGAATGAAAGGGGGAGGTAGAAAGAAAACATGGAGAAATGTAATGTGAGCAACAAAAGTGCACAGGAGGCTCGGTACCATGAGTCTGCGAATGACATGTGCTATCTCATTTTATTATGGTAATTCCCACACACATTGCGGAAAAAGGCTCGGCACCATCATTCCGTGAACGCGAAGAAACGCGAAGCTTTTATACAGAGATGCTTTTACACACAGAATCTTTTACACATAAACACTTTTACACACAGACGCTTTCACACAGAGACGTTTTTCATGCACACACACACAGACGCATTTCCACACAGAGACTTTTACACGAAAACACTTTAACACACAGACGCTTTTATACACAGACACTTTTACACACCTACGCTTTTACATGCAGATGCCTTTTTACAGACGCACACACACTTTCACACACAAACGCTTTTACACACAGACGCTTTTAAACACAGACACAGACGCTTTTCCACACAGACCCTTTTACACACAGACGCTTTTACACACAAACACTTTTACACACATACGCTTTTACACGCGGACGCTTTTACACGCAAACACTTTTACATACAGACGCTTTTACACACAGACGCTTTTACACTCAGACACTTTTACACACAGACGCTTTTCCACACAGACCCTTTTACACACAGACGCTTTTACACACTTTTACACAGAGACGCTCACAAAGCGCGGCACCACTGGGTGACCTCAGTTGCAAACAAAGGTGCGCAAACATAGTTGCAATGGAAATGCTAAAAAATCGCAAAAGTGCACAAGACCAGGCTCAGTACCATGATCAACGCACAATCCAATGCAAGGCATCCGCTCTTTGAGATACAAAATAAGCTCGGCACCATGATGCCGTGGATGACCTCAGTTGCAAACACAGGTGGGCAAACATAGTCGCAATGGAAATGCTACAAAATGCAAAAGTACACAAACAAAGGCTCCGTACCATGGCATCCAAAAGAATCTAGAACTCCGTGCAAGAATGCTTTGAATGATTCCACAATAGCAAGTTCGATATCATGATGGCAAGGATGACACTTGTTTCACTGCATTTCTCCGATGTCCCTACAGGATGGAAAAAAATCTACGTTCACGTCTGAGCCCAGGAAAGAGGTAAAGAGGTAAACTATGCTTGTCGCTGCAGAGTTGCACAATCCACTGCAAAGCATTTGTTCTCTGACTTCCAAACTGAGAACACCACTCATGAGTTTGACATGGCAAAGAACCACTGTCGCAGAGACCTGCAAACTGAAGGCTGAACGCATCAACAAAAAACTAGTTTAACAAAGCTCGGTAACAAAAAACTCAGCAGCTCGGCAACACCATCTTGCATCATCTCGCAATGCCTTGTTTCATCTTGCATCATCCTGGACTTCCAAACTGAGAACACAATTCGTGAGTTTGACACTTGGGATGGGCATCATTGTCGAACACAATGGTGCTGTAAATTACATGCATCACACCGTTCTCGAAGGAAACATCCACAAAGGTACAACGAACCCAACAGCTTGGTAACTTCTACAACTTCATGCACTAACCTGCTACACACTCGCACAATTCAATGCAAAGAATGTGTTCTTCGAACCCTGAGACCACGACTCCTGCGTTTGACAAGCAAACATCATTGTCGCATAGACATGCAAACTGAACAGTGAAG